GAGATATGAGGTAGCAGTAAGGTTGAGTGGGGGGAAGAATGGAGGAGACCAGGATGAGATATTCTATAATAGAAGGAGTCATTATAGGTTTGAGGAGAGCTAACAGTAGTGGGATTTCCAGAGATCTACAAGCAGGATGACACCAACTGGCAAACTAAACAATAATGGAGAGACTATATTAATTTCTCCTCCCTGATATAATGAGATTGCGGACTACTTTACATGCCATCCTAGAGCCTTTATCCAATAACCGACAGAAGCAGAGGCAGATACCCACTGCTAAACACTGAATTGAATCCCTGGAATCCAGTGACAGAGAGGAAGGAGTGATGAACAAAGTGGTCATGATAATGCTGGCGAAACCCACAGAGACAGTGGACCTGACACGGGGGAGCTCTTGGACCCAAGACTGAGGCCAACATGGGACTGATCCAGACTCCCCTGAATGTGGTGACAGTGAGGAGGCTTTGTCAATCTCTGGGGCTTTGGGTAGTGGATCAGTGTTTACCATAGCATACGAATGAACTTTGGGAGTCCATTCCATATGAAAGGAACCTCTCTCAGCCTGGGCACATGGGGTAGAGCCTAGGCTCTGCCCCAGATGAAGTGACAGACTCTGGAGATTCCCTCATGGAGGACCACACCCTCCATGGGGAATGGTGTGGGAATTGGGTGGGGGTGTGGGGAGGCTGGTAGAGGGACAAGGGAGGAGGGGAGGGAGAGGGAGCCAGGATCGACATGTGAAGCAAGCATGTTTCTAATTTAAATAAAAATATGTTGAGAAAAAAAAGAAGACTGGCTTGAGTATTGGTCACCCTCAGCAGACCACATGACTTATTTTTTTGCCAGGCTTAATGGATACAGGATAGTTATGGGTAACTTGTGGCCTCCTGTTTTCTCAGCTATCTCTTTAGTCCCTAGAGAAATAGTTTTTATCTAGGGAAATGGCACCTACATTTTTCCCTTTTTAATTTCATTTTGGAGTTCTGGAGATTGAACCCAGGACTTTGTATAATCTTGGATTTTTATTGCTGTGACCAATAAAAATCATGTGTGTTTTTATCATCATGACCAAGACTACTTATAAGTAAAGAATTTGATTAGGCTTATTGTTTCAAGAGTTTGATTAGGCTTATTGTTTCAGAGGGTTAGAGTCCATGATGTCAGAGTGAAGGCATGGTGGCAGGAATAACTGAGAGCTCACTTCTCATACAGCAAACAGAAAGCAGAGAGCACATTAGGAAAGATATGAGTCCCTAAAACCTCAAAGCCTGCTACCAGTGGCAACCTCCTCCAAAGAAAACCACACCTCCTAATCCTCCCCAAAGAGTTCTGTCAATTGGGTAACGAGTATTCAAACATAGGAACTTATGGAGGCCATTCTCTTTCGAACCACCACAGACCTTTCACATGTTTAGCAAATGCTCAACCACTGAGCTACAGTTTTCAGTTTTGTTTTATAAATCATGATCTGTGGTAACAAATGGGAAAGAATCCTGTTAATTTGGTTGCTATTTAATGAATGGGTTTGTTCACAATCCATCTTTGCCTAATAAATGTAGTTCTCACTCCTCATCAAAGAAGCTTCTCTTTGCAGCATCAAAGAGGCTTCTCTTTGCAGCAGATAAAAACAATAACAGAAAACCATAACTGGTCAAAATACACAGAAAACTTATTGTGGAATTCCATCCCCTGTGAATAACAACTCCTGCCCATAAGGCTAGGAACATTGAGGAAGAACGAACAGGAAGAATGTAAGAGCCATAGGACCACAAAGTCTGATGTGAGATTGCATCTCTTAATAATGATAGGGAAAGTGCACCCACATAGTACAACAATATGACTGCCTAAATAATGAGAACATTAATTGACATGCTAATGTAGGGGGAAATTTCATGGGGCCCCATCCCTAAACAAAAAACTGCAGGCAATTAAGGAATGCTGAGAAAGGGTGAATTAGTCTTTCCCAGGAATGAGCCTTTTAATTGGTCAGCCATAAAATCATACACATATAAGCAACACTAAATAAACTCAGCATGTTGTATTTATATATTTGTTTATGCATGTAAATGTTTATATGTGTGTATAAAATATACATATATTTGTGTGTAATGATAACAATCAAAATAAAGAGGCTGCGATATTGAGAGGGAGGAAGAAGGTGTGTAGAGGGATCAGAGGGAGGAAAATGAAGGGAGAAATGATGTAATTAATGATATTTTAATTCAAATAAAATTATATAAGAAACAAAAGAGAGGGTTGGAAAATGGCTTAGAAGTTAATGGTATTGTGGTATTTTGGATAAGAATGCTTTGTCACTAGTGAGTGACAATATTTGAAGGATTAGGAGGTATGATTTTGTCATTGGGAGTGGGCTTTGAAGCTTCAAAAGCCATTCCAGTCCTAGTCTCTCTCTCTCTCTCTCTCTCTCTCTCTCTCTCTCTCTCTGCTTATGGATCATGATGTAGAATTCTCAGCCACTTCTCCAGCATTATGTCTGTCTGCCTGCCATCATATTCCCTGACACAATGATTGTTAAAATACAGTGCATGAATGAATCTGTGTGAGGAGAATTCTGATTGCTTTTAAGGAAACAGGACAAGAGTTCTGCGACCTCAGGCCTCCAAAGCATTGTTCTTGGAATATACTTTTGTGCCCCTCCCAGGGTCATGGTGTTGCCTTGGTCATGTAGTCTCTTCACGACAATAGAATAGTGACTAAGACAGGCAGGCACTATTCTTACAAAGAAACTAAGTTCAGTTCCTAACTTTTACATCTGTTGGCTGACAATGGCTCACAACCACCTGTAACTCCACTTCTGGATTCCACAGACACCTGCACACACACACACACACACACACACACACACACACACACACACACACACACCTCTAGATACACATACATGATGAAAAACTTAAAATCTCTTCCTGTAAATAAATAAATAAAAGTTTGAGAAAGATAATATGTTTCAGAAGGGCATTCAGACCTACTTTTAAGATGGTTCATTCACATAGCTATTAATAGGCCTAATAGAAATTTAACTATTAACTTGTAACTAATAGAAAATTAACTTATAGTCTATTCTGCGCTCTTTCTACACTCTTTGGCATTAGGGCTCAAATACAGGACCTTACACTTGCTAGGCAAATACTACCACTGACTTAACATCTCAGCAACGTAGCCCCCCTTTAGTTTATTTTGAGACAGAGTCTCACTATTTTGTGGAGGCTAGCTTTGAACTCATTACAATTCCCAGACTAGCTTCAGAACTTGTGATCCTCTCACATCAGTCTCCAAGTAGCTAATATTTCAGACATGTGCCATCACATCACATGGGAAGTAAGCTAATTTTGAAAACCCGGTTTCTCTAGCCTATGAAATTATAACAAATTAGTTTGAAAGCTGATGATATAGTCTGTAAGGAAAATTCTTTATTTAAACCAGATATCCAGAATCTATATGATTCAGCATCTCAAGGAAATATGATTATTAGAATTTTTTGATCATATTATATGACTGAACTATAACATACTATCAGATTTTGTTATTTATTGTTCTACCTGTAGTAAAGACATTGATAATGTATCTGTCAATCTACCATTAGGTATTTTGAAATTTTCATTACATGTGGACACTAGTAAGAAAAAAGGTGAGTTGGCAAATGGGTTGTGTAAGGACAGGGTAAAAATCCATTACACAGTTGTTACATGTTTCCTGTCTGACTTTGTGACTACTTTGCCTCCCATTCCTGATTTCCAAACTGTGATACATAAGTGCCTAACAACAGCAACAAGAACAGCAATGAGACATCAGGGTTACTAAGACATCAAAATAATTTTTTAAAATTATTTTTATGTTTATGAGCCTTTGCTTGTATGTATGTAGGTAGGTATTCATGTGTACTATGTGTATGACTTGGTATGTGCAGAGGCCAGAAGAGTCCATCAGATCACCTGGGATAGTTTTGCACTGCATGTGGGTGCTGGGGGCATGGAACCTTATTCCCCTTTAAGAACAGCCAATGTTCATGGCTGCTGAGCCAGTTTTCCAGCCTGGTTAAATAAAAGAGATAGAGACATACATGAAAGATAGGTTGGTAGGTTTTAACATGGCTTCCCTGACTTTAGAACTAAGATATGTGAGCCAAGAATTGAAACTTTCCTCACTTTAAATATCATCTGCCGTGGAGTCTATGGGGTTCATTTCTCAGGACTTTTTTCTAAAAAAATGTTTCCTAGTCTCACCAATGATCACTAATTGGAACATCTATATTAGTAGATTGTGACTCAGCACCTGGTCATGGGACTGGGTGAGGGAATTCCTGTTAAGCAAGACCTTCTCACCATCGATTCCTCTAGGAATGTGCCATCATATCTAATTCCTGAAGATTTCATTTATTCAGTCTTTTTTCCTCCTTATTTGGTACAGGACTGGAACTTCCAGCTTCACTCTCCTGGGTTGCCTGGATAACAGGCACGAGCCTCCCTTCAAAAATTCTCTTTAACTTAATTTTTCTCCCCAAGTATTTTTTTTTAAACCAAACCTTCAAATAAAAACAGGAGCAATAATTCGTACGGCTTAGACATCACTTTAGCCCAGGCTGGCCTCTAATTGGAGGCTATTCTTTGGCCTCAGTCTACCTATTGCTGTCAGAACAAGCATGGTACTCAAATTTTGGAAAGCTGCTCAGATGATGCCAAGGGCAGGAACCACGGACTGGGAGTAAACCTGCAAGAGTCAAGAACTAAGGCATTCAGCCCCAGCAGAAGTTGGCCCAGCCGCTACATCATCACTCTGCTCTGACGAGTTTTGCGGAGTGGTTCATTTACTTAACAACGGAGGGAAGAGTCCCGTCTGTTAGTTAGTTAGTCAAGGACCCCACCTAGCTGACTGAATGGGAAATTCCATTGACTCCATCTCCGGCTGCCCGCCAATCAAACATCAGGACCTGCGTTCTCTACGCGGTAGTCCCGCCCCCCAGGCAGCGTAGCCCCGCCCTTCCGACAGTGAGGCCCGACCCCTCCCGAGCGCTCTTACCGCGTAGGCTCCTGGGTGGGGAAGCAAGATTCGGTCTTGCGCAGTTCTTGGTGTTTGGAATCAGGCTCACACTCAACGCTCTTCTGTCACTTGTTTGCCTCTGCCCAGGAGTGCGAGTGACTTGGTTGTCCACCCGTAGCTAGGCAGTGGATTGCCATGAAGCGGGCAGCGATGCGGTAGGTGGCAGTGTGTGAAAGGGCTTAAAGGGGCGCTGTCCTGGGATGCCCACGCCTTTGCCGCGTGGAGCGGGGCGGAAGAAGCCTTGGGCGGGACCGAAGCGGAGGTTGATTGGCTTTGCAGGAAAAGGCACCCGCAGCCCTGAGCTGGGCCCACCAGGCAGCCTCGCCTGGAAGAATGCCTTCCTGCTTTAGCGACAGCTGGCACTCCTAAAAGGGAAGACACAGGGTGTTCACTTGAAATTCCTATCCCTTTGCTCACCAGGGGTGTGGCTGGATCCTCGGGGTAGCCCCCTTTCCGAAAACAGTATTTTCGGTTCCACCCTGCCTTGCCTTGCCTTGCCAGCCTTTTTCTCTTTGAAAAATATTTTGGAGGTTACACACTTGACACACTTGGAATCTGACTTAAGTATGTTATCACGTGTGCAGCGATTGTAGAGTACCGTTGGGCTCTCATAAGCTGATTCATCTGTGTTTTTTTTTTCAGATTTATTTTTACTGTTCTATTATGTAGAGTGTCTTCCTTGCTTGTCTGTGCACCGCATTCATGCCTGGTGCCTGAGGAAAGGGTGAGCTTCCATGGGGGTGCTGGGATTCAAACCCAGGTTATTTTTCCAACAAACAAGTGCTCTTAACCACGGTGCCAAAACTTCAGGCCCCTGTTTATTTTTGAGACAAGGTTTCACTATGTAATCTTGGTTGTCCTAGAATTCCATATGTGTATCAACCGGACTGGCCTCAAACTTAAAGACATGCACCTGCCTACCGCTTTCCAATGCTGGGGTTAAGGGCATGTGCCATGCCAGCACTTCTGGTTCTCATCTGTGTATTTCTTCATTCGTTTGAGAGAAGAAGGCCAAGCAATACTACTGGCCGGCCTCAGACCCATGACAGCCCTTCAGCTTTCAACTTTTCTAAATTAACTGGGATTTTCAGATGTACATTATCATGGCCGGTTTAGAACGTGGCTTTGATAAGTAGAAAGGCACTTACAATGAAAGTGCTCTGTTGAACCAGTTTTCAACTGGCATGGTTAAGGACCAAGGTCTTTAGACTGCAGGGCATATCTGGCTGTCCCTAACTCACGACATGCAATTTTTTCTGCTTGCCTGTTTTCCAAGAGATGACACTTGCTCTAGGTGCAGAAGTCATCCTGCAGTTGGTGAGCTTGACCTTGAAATGGGTCCCACTAATTTGCTAGGGGTATTTGATCTGCTTTTATTCTTCCTAGTAATCTTGCTGTCAGGTGAACCAAGTGGGTTATCTCCCCATCCATCAGCGCCTAACCTTTGTCAAACTATTTGAAGAGAGGTTGAAAGTCCTTAAAAGAAGGGCATGATACCCTTTAGACTTCTACAGGTTTTGTGGCCTTGCCCTTGTGCCTTCTTCCACAAGACCTTTTAAAAGTGTTGCAAAACTTTATTTTTATGTGCATGAGTGTTTTGCTTGCATGTATGCATGTGTTGCATAAGCATGCCTGCTGCCAGTGGAGGTCATGAGGGCATGACATCCCCTGGAACTGGAGTTAAAAGTGGTTATGAGCCACCATATGAGTGCTGGTCTCCAAATCCAGGGCCTCTACAAGAGCAAGAAGTACTCTTCACTGAACTAGAGAGCTGGCTCAGTGGCTAAGGATAGTGGCTGCTCTTCTAGAGGAACCAGGTTCAAGGACTCCAGTTGCAGGAGATCTGACCTCCTCATTTGACATCTTCAGGCGCTGCTGCATGCCTGTTGTTCATGGACATACATGCTGGCAGAACAATCATAAAAATAAAATCTAAAAATTTTAAGAAAGAAGCGATTGTAATGATTGAGCTGTACCCCTAGTCCCCACAGCACCTTTCTTGAGCTCTTCTACCAGTCCAGAAGTCCTTCCTTGCACTCTATACCTTTGTGCTCCTTTCTTGTTAGTCCTATTGAACCTTAGCTTCTGTCAGTGTCTAGTAGAGAAGTAATCCTTATATGAGTACAGGCTGTCTGAGGTTATGAGGCTATTTGGTGTTTGCTTGTGTAGCTTCTTCCCAGACATGGATGAGTCATGTTACTTGATTCAGTCTCCATGTTGAGGTACTTCCTCAGAGTGATGGGCATATGAATAACTATGCCTGTGCTATTGTAGCTGAGGTGCAGCCCAGGCCTTCACTCATGCTAAGCAAGTTCTCTACCACTGAGCTAACACCCCCCAAGGCTCAAACTACCTGATAATACACTGACATATTTTTGCCATTTTCTCCATATTAGAACCTAAGATGGAGCCAAGTCGTTTCTTTTCATAACTGCAGGTGACTCTGTAGCTCCGTAGGCAAGCTGTGGAGAGGTTGAAACCCTCTGCCCTATTTCATTAGAAAGGTTCAATCTTCGGATCCTGTGGCCTGAGTATCCTAAAGGACCCATGACAATTTCCCCCAAAAGCCTAGGGATTTTGTTTTGGTGCTCTTGGGGGCTTATCAGAGATAAGGAAGAGCACAATGCTGTTAATAGATTTTTGTCATTATACAACATCATAGAGTGTACTTACGTACACAAACCAGATGACACAGCATAGACCAAATGTTATAACTTACAGTTCCTGGGCTGTAAACCTATAACACAGTAATGTATTGAATGGTGTGAGCAATTGTAATACACTGGTGAGTTATTTGTATGTCTGAAACAAAAAGATGGAGTGTTAATATGATGTGGAAAGTAAAAAAGGATGCACACCATTATCATTAAGGGAGCATATGGGACTAGAAGTTGGTCTAGGTGAGTCAGCTCAAAACACTAATATATGGTACAGCTGTTAAAAAGCCATCCTTTTTCATATCACTGTTCTATAAGCTCTTTTTCAAATTTTAAGATATATGGTTCAGGAACTAGAGAGATGACTGTGTGGTTAAGAGCACTTGCTGCTCTCCCAGAGGACCTGAGTTCAAATCCCAGCACCCATGTCAGACAGCTCACAGCCACCTATAACTCCAGCTCAGAAGAGTCATTGCCCTGTGCTAGACCCCACAGGCACCCCCACACATGTCCACATATCCACATTCAGATACACACCTCTTTAATGTTGGGACTGCAGGCATGTGTCACCACTCTTGATTTTATGTGTGCTGGAAACTGAACCCAGCACTCAACCAACTTGGCTATATGCTCAGTTCAAACATTTTATTTTTATAGTTTTAGAGTTGCCTTTGAATATATTTCCCATCTTTTACGACTGCATAGAAAACTTAATGGCTGTGAGACTGACTTTGCAAATATGTTGACCCAGGTGTCTATATTCAGTTACCCCTTTTTATGTTACTGGGATTTGAACTCATGACCATTTTGTCTTTCAGCTAATGGTAGCAATGCAAATGATTAGCTTTTCTTTTTGCAGTGGGTTCTTCATATTTATGTGTGCATGTAGAAGCAGGAGGAGGTCACTAGGTATCCTGCTCTATCCCTGGCCTTATTCCCACGAGACAGGAGCTCCTACTGAGTCTAGAGTTTATAATTTAGGCTAGTTTTCCTGTCTCTGGGAGTATAGGCACCCATACAGCCACACCTGACTTTTCATATGGTTGTGGACATCTGAACCCGTTAAGCTATCTCCCCAATCTCTTCAGTGGTTTTTATTTAAAAATATTATTGTGTGTTTGTATAGATACTTGCATGATGTATGTCCGTGTACATGTGTGACAGGGTGTGCATGTGGGGGTCAAAGATCATCTTTGTGGAGTCAGTTCTTTCCTTTTACCTTTCCGTGGGTCCTGGGGATTGAACTCAGGTTGCCAGGATTGCGACTTTATCACCCTCCATTCCCTGTATGTTCTTGAAAATTTGGTATGTTCTGTTGCAGAATCCTGGTTTATGAGATGGCAGGATATAGGAATGCATAACCTACTTCTACGTGTAATAGGTTTGAATCTATATAAAAATGTATATAATACTGAAAAACAGAAAATCTAAATCACATTGTTAGAAAATTCCAATTTGAAGATGACGATCAAGAAGACTAGAATATTAATCTGTGTAGAAAAGTACAGAAAAGGGAAAGGTTACTGTGTGAAAAAAATATGCCAAGTGACTAGCAGTCATATTGATGAAGAATAAAGAGGGCATAAAGACTAAAATCCTGCAGTGGGCATTTCTGTTTTAGTGGGCCAGTGTCACAGCTAAAGAAGATGACCAGGTGACTAAGGAGTTAAAATTCCCAGTGAGCAAGTATGCATAATTATATGTTCTTTTGCAGCTGAAATAATTGACTTGGTGAAAGGTCAAAGATTTATTCTAGCAGCACATAATCGTCAACTATATATAGGTAGATTTTTACAAAACATTTTTACTGAGTGACTTTCACTGAATGCTGTAACTCAGTAACTTGCTCTCAGAAAAGGTAAAAATGTAATGTTTTGGTTAGTCATTATCCTCACATTATGTAGCAAGAGTTTGCTAGTAACTTGGGCTAGAATGATTTGGTGGTATTTAGAATTCTTGATCCCTTCAGTTAGTTTTCAGCCTTCACAGATTAGTTTGTTAATTTCTGGTGTATGTGGCGGGGGTGGGGGAGGCGAGATGGGGGCGTCTCATTATTTAGCCCTAGCTGTCCTGGAACTCACTGTGTCATGATGGCCTTGAACTCATAGGGATCTGCCACCATGCCAGACTGATATATGTTATTACCAATATGGTAATAATGTGAGTATATGTAAGTGTATGGTTGTTAATACTTAAGCAACAGTGAGCTAACGTCAGCTTATCCAATTTATTTTTGAGAGGATTGGTAAGGCTCCTTTGGGTACATAGATTTTTCTTTTCTTTCATTAGAGTCCTAGGAAATTTCTAGACGAGTGTAATAAGTATTTTTGATTGAGTGCAAAGGGCTGATTCAAAGGTCAACGATGATTAGCTGGTAATTGAGTTGATCTTACTTATTGAGGAAATATGGTATGATAACAAAGAACAAAGCGTGTAGTAAAGCTGGTGTGGGACTGTGTACTCTGGAGGAGATGATGTCTTGCAGATTCCCAGAGAAGCAGCTCTGGAAACTTATGTATGCTTTCTCTTCCTTTCCAGGCTTTGTACCCTGAACAGGGGGCTTCTTATTCATGGCAGAGGACTGACTCAAGGATCCCAGTACACCCCAAAACAAGGACTCTTACACATACGTGAAGGCAAGCATGATGGTGTTTACCTCTTATGCCTCCATGATGAACAAACCCATTTCCCTTGGGCAGTGCGTGGAATCATAGCAGCAGCAATGAATGTGTTAAAGATTGACTTGTAATTAGTTACATGTACGTGTGGGTGGGGTGGGGTGTGCACAAAAATACATGTGCGTGCGAAAGTGTCACTTTTCTTTGGAGTTGCAGGTGATTCTGAACCACCTGATACAAGTGCTGGGAACTGAATTGGGGTCTTCCACTCGAGCAGTACATGCTCTTAAACACTGTGTCATCTTTCTATCCCTGAAATATACATGTTAAGTGTCAGTGCTTCATAAATATCACATTTATAAAATAATGAAGATAATTGCATAATAGCTTGAGATAGAAATCTGAGTGAGAATCTGAGTCCTGTGGGGACTGAGATGTTTCTTCTTTCCACTTCCTGTGTAGAGCTATAGAAGACTGGAACAGAGCTAGAGTCACGAGGAAGAAATAAGCCTGCCATTTGTATCTACCTAAAAGCTCGTTTGCAGTTTTGTTAGAGGGACCTTGTTCATTGTACTTAGTTTCACTTACTAAATATTATATGCAGACTATGGTATGTCTTAGAAATTAGAAATACTCATACAAATTAAAATTGTCCCCTCTTTAAAGGGTCTATGTGAAAGAGAGAACGTGAATGTGCATAAAATTGAAATTTTTTGGTTCTCAGCACCTACCACCCTTCACACTGACCAAATTAGTAAGAACTATTTCGTGTCAGTGAGCATCAGTAGTCTGTATGGTGTTTGGGCTATTTTGTATACATTCTTTTATTTGGGAGGAAATCAGAAATAAGACTGATGGTTACGTTTTACAATTCTTTATGATTTAGCCATGATTAGTGTGTGTACCATGTATGCAATGTACATACAACAGTCTGATAGAAAATCCACTACTTTCATGAGACTGCATGTTATTCTTACCATAATTTGGTTTTGATCGTTTAATATTGAAGGACCAAGTACAACTACATTCAATTTCCCATGAATGGAATGTTTATTTTGAAATGCTAGACTAAAAACACATTATTTGAAATATTGTAGGTTTATTTTCTAATTTCAAATTACTGCCAATCGTCTAATTATTTTCCCCTTTCCATATAGCATGTTCATCTATTCATGTGAATCATGGTGTGTGGTAATTAGTATCAATTTTTCCCTTCAGCGCTTACGTTTTGTTTTAAGCTAACTCACTCTTGCATAGTAGAATTAAAATCAGATCACATTCTTTGCTTTACCTTGACTTAAGTCTTTGCTTCATTTTTCTGGCTTAAACTGCTCTAATTAGAATAGTATGAACATATAAGAAATCAATTGCAATAAAGCTCAGTTTTGGATATTAGTATCAGTTGCTCAACTAAGTCCTTTGATCTAATACTGTCTATAAGATGATGAGTGAAGATCCTGTCATAAGTATCTTTGTTCCCAGGCTGAGAAGATAGTTCAGTTGGTAAAGTGTTGCCATGCAGGCATGAGAACCTGAGGCTGATCCCTAGTACCCATGTAAAGAAGTCATATGTGGTGGCCATACACTTGTAATCCCAGCACTGAATGTGGAATCATGGATATTCAGAGCTCACTGGCCAATTAGCCTAGCCAACTAAGTAAGCTTCAGGCCAATGAGAAACCCTTTCTCAAAAAAACAAAGTGGATCACACCTGAGTAATGATACCTATGATTGTTCTCTGGTGTGTACATGTATGCATACATGCACAAAAAGAGTTCTATCCTAAAGGGACTCAACACTTGACTTGGTAAAGACTGTTGGGTGAAAATTTGAAAATTTTATGATTTATTTCAATAAACCTCAGTAATTGGCAAAAAAGTATGTTCATTTGCACTAAGGAGACAATATAGTTGCTTCCCGTTTTGAGATGGCAAAGGCCTGATCCCATCCCTGAGCTGTTGTAGCACTGGATGGTAATTCCTGAATCTTGATACCCTTTGAGTGCATGAGCAGCTTAACTTAGTTCCTGAGCATCTTGCCCTAACCCATTTTTCCCTTTTTTTTTGTTTCATGGAGTAATGTCTTTGTTTTTTGTTGCAGTTCGGGATAAGTTACGGGAGATTGTAGGAATATCCACAAACTGGAGGTATGCATTTTGGTATTTCATCCCCAAGGGCTCATGTTAAGTGATATTTAGGCTCAGTGGCTGAGTTGGGAGCTCTGTGTGGCAATGGGGGGCTTTCCTGTTAGGGGAAAAGAACAACATCTTCATGTATTAATCAGTTGATGCATCATCAACATGAAAACTGGGATGTATTATTGTGCGTTTTCAAAACCTATATCCATTGATTCTCAGAAGAAAACTTGTGACATGCTTATGGCATACTTTTTTATTCCATTTTTTTTGAGCACAGTGAAACTGAAACTCACAGTCAAGCCTTGTGACTTGATTGAACTCAAATCTTCTGATTTTATTGACTGTTTTGTGTAAGTTGACTCCTTTGTTCAAAGGTATATGGCCTGGAAGAGTCCTGTGCTTTGAGCAATGGGTAAGGCAGATCTTGGCTCAAGCCTAGGGCTCCCTTGCTGAGAAGGCAGAGAAGGCCAGACTAAGTGGTGCACTGTCTTTGGGACCCAAGCTCAATCTGGGACTTTGGGAAAAAGGCTTGGATAAATAGGTCAGGGGTACTCACCAGGCTAATCCACAGAAGGGGCTTACAGATAGGATGCTTGCTGGTGGAAGTCTAGAGGTTGGCTGGGGTGCAGGTGTGAGTGGCCAGACTAGGTCAGGGCATTGTCTTTGAGACCCAGGGTAGATCCAGGAACTTCCAGAAGAACAAATATCGGGTTGTTGGGGTACTCACCTGGCTAGACTCTAGAGGAGAACTTCTGACATCTGGGTATTGAGTATGGTGGCGAAGATGGGCAAAGGGACCACTGTGTGGATGCAGGTGGTATGTATCCTGGTAGAAGTCTAGAGATTGCGTGGGGCGCAAGAGGAGGTAGCCAGACTAGGCCAACATCAAGATTCAACAAAAGTTTTAAAAGTTACATCTGGTGGTTTTTGACTCCTCATACCACCCTCTAGTCTAGAATAATTGGTAGTTTGCATCTGTTTTTCCCCATGAATTTGACTTTCACAGGGCTAAGCTGTTTGCATCAAGAGTATTGCACGTTCTCAGCTTATCTAGTACCATTTAACTTGTTTCTCTGCCTTTAATATTTTTTGTAGGCTAAGCTTTCTGGCAATAATAGTTTATCATTTCAGTTTGGAAGGACTTATTATGTAATGGTGCTTATACTTTAGTTTCCTGTTGTTTTCACTGTTGTCCTCTCCTTTGGTCTTCCCTTTTCTCCCCATTCTATGTTTTAAAATTGTTTTCTTCCATTTTTACCCTTTATCCTCCTTTGCATACTTCCTTTGGGTATCAATCATTTTTCTCAATTATCTCTTCTGAAATTGAATGGATGGGAGGGGTGAGGGAGACACAGGAGAAAAGAGAGAGGAAGAGGAGAACAAGAATATGAGAATGAACATGAACATGGTAGGACACAGAATCTGAGTTTTCCGCCTTTGCTTGCCTTTCTCCCCTCTCATGTTTAGTATTGACCTCAGGACTTTGCATATGCTAAGCAAGTGTTCTACCACTAAGGTATGGTGCTAGTGTGAATAAGGCTTTTAAAATATTTATTTATTTTTTATGTGTGTGGGTGTTTTGCCAGTATTATGTATGTGTACCATGTGTGTATAGTGCCTGAGGAGACCAGAAGATGGCATCATATCCTCTGGAACTGGAGTTACAGATGGTTGTGAGCCACCATGTGGGTACTGGGGATCAAATCTGAGTCCTTTGCATAAGCAGCCAGTGCTCTTAACTACTGAGCCATATCTCCAGCTCCTGAATAAACTTTTTTTGATCAAGTGAAAATGTGATCCATTTAGGTGTATTTCTATCACTGAATATGTGTTTCTTATGTATATGTCAAGTACCAGCTATTTCAGTTGGTACAGCGTAGAACTCATATCCAGAAGCCTAAAATTGTCATCAGCAATGTTTAATTGCACTAAGTGCTTCATGGGAAGGGAGTGAGGAACTGAATTAGGCAGGCATCGATCCCTCCTTTCTTCCATGTATTATGTCTGACTGACCTGTTTGAGGTAGTGGATACTGGGATTGTGGGAAAGCGCTGTTCTTGTTTTATGAAGCCTCGTCTTTTCTTCTCAGAGACCATGTAAAAGCAATGGAGGAAAGGAAGTTACTTCATAACTTGTTGGCTAAATCTCAGAAAGCCCTACCACCGAGGAAAATGAAGGATAGTTACATTGAAGTTCTCCTTCCTTTGGGTAGTGATCCTGGACTACGAGACAAATATTTGACTGTTCAAAATACAGTAAGGTAACACTGTATGATTTTCATTATTGTCATTTGTTGTAACTTTTCCTTTAAAAATAACTACTGGGAGATAAAATTCATAAACCTTACAGTCCACCTATTTGAAGTATATGACTGTGTAGTTTTAGTATAGTGAAAGACTTGTGTAACTATCACTGTAGTCAATTTTAGAGCCCGTTCTTTATCCCAAAGTACATTATGAAATTTTAAAGGGAAGTCATTGTGATTTTCATTTAATTCACATTTTGTTTTATTTCACAGATTCGGCAGGATTCTTGAGGATCTTGACAGCTTAGGAGGTACTGGATTTTGTATTCCTAAAAGAGTTACAGGTAGACAATGAATCCCTGATAGAAAGGGCGAGGGGGGGGTAGTGGGACCTGGGAAGAATAGAGGGGGTAAAGAGGAAGGGAGTTGGTCATGGGGGAACAGGAAGTTGAGGGGGTGGGGGTAGAATAGGGGGAAGAGGGAATCATAGGATCGAAGACAGATCAGGCACCAGAGTGACCTTGAGTGATCTAAAGGTATAACATCAATTGGCAAGCTAAGCAATAGTGGAAGGACCACCTCGAATGCCCATTCCTGATAATGAACTTGATGTCTATAACTATCCGGGAGCCTTCATCCTGGGACTGATGGAAGCAGAGGCAAACATACAACTAAGCACTGAACTGAACCCAAGGAACCCAGTGACAGAGAGAGAGGAATGATGAGCAAATTGGCAAAGAATGGGCTGGCAAAACCAGCAGAGACAGCTGATCTGGACAGGGGAGTGCTCTTGGACCCCAGACCGACAGTGGGGAGGCCAGAATGGGACTGATCTGGACCCCCCAAATGTGAGTGTCAGTGAGAAGGCCTGGACAACCTATGGGGCTCTGAGCTGTGGATCAGTGTCTATTCCTGGTATACAATCTGTCTTCATGTGCCTATAGCACAAAGAGAGATGCTCTCTCAGCCTGGACTCTTAGGGGAGTGCCTTGACCCTACCAAGAGTAAAATGATAGACTCTAGACATCCCCTATGTGGAAGGATTTGGCAATAGGGTGGGAGGGAGGGTGGAAGGGGAGTGCGGGAGGAGGGGAGGGAGAGGGAACTGGGATTGACATGTAAAACAAGCTATTTAAAATTAAAATAAAAAAAATTTGAAAAAAAAAAAAGAAAATTGAAAGCGATGTAGTATAAAGGAAGTAAACATCCAGCTCCCATATCTTTCACCTCCAAGTCAGGGGTGTAAGAATTCGATTCCAGGAATACAAACCAAAACCACATTGCCCTTCTCCATGCTCCACTACCAAGAATATGATACAATCTCTGCATAGATAGGCGCCAAGAATTTATTATTCTCTGCAGCTATATTTTGCAGCCTTGAACAAATTCCAGATGTTTTAGGCTTACTTGTTCTGAACCAGGTTATAATAGGGAAATATATTTAAGACGCAGTAGAAAACACTGAACATTAATTTATAGAACAGGATTATTGCTGTGTGAGATAACTTATACATGAGACCAGAAACTAATGGCTCCCTTCACTCTGTTGTAGAGGAAGATGGGACTCAGAGAGAAGCAGTTACTGACCTAAACATTGCACTGGGAATCTTGACATATTTGTCCAAACTCTGGGGCTCATTTTAAAAGTACAAATTTGTCATATCTACTTAAAGATAATTATTTTATTTATAATAGTGAAAGAAATTAAAGTTGAAAATTGAGGCAAAGAACATGTGGTGTTCTGAAAAGATAGGAAGGAAGGAAGTAAAAAAGAAGGAAGGAAGGAAGGAAGGCAGGAAGGAAGGAAGGAAGAAAATTAAAAAAAAAAAAAAAAGAAAGGTGCACTTTGCACACATGGGTTGCATTGATAGTTTGTCGGGAATAGATACTCAGCCTTTCCTTGGTTTTTGTAAGCTGATACTTTTGAAGGTTGTGGGATGCCTTTCTTTTTGATAATAATTTTTTATTTAACTTTTTACCCATGTTACTTGCAGTTCCCTCTCCCTCACCTCCTCGCCTGCCACCCCAGCCCCCCAACCCCCTACTTCATCCCCCCTTCACTCCCCAGGGAGGGTAGGGCCTTGCTTGAGGGATTTTCAGAGTCTGTCACATCATCCCGGGCTGGGTCCTCCTCCATGTGTTCAGGCTGATAGAGCATCCCTCCATGTGGAATTTCCCATTTTATCATTACATCTTCCTCTTTATCATGTTACTGTACTGGAAATGGAGCTGAGAGCCTTGAACATGGCAGATAGGTATTCCAGCACTGACCTACATTCTTAGTCCCACAGTTTACTGTTGAATTTGAAAAATCTTGCTGTATGGAATTGACCTGGAATTTGTAGCCCAGACTAGCTTCACTTTATAAAACTGAACCATCTCCATGGCCCCCTGGGTTTAAAAAACGTGTCCTCCATTGTTCTTTTAGCACTTTTAATTCTGACCAGTAAGACATTCTAGACTTATCTTATCCTTTCTGTAGCCCAGCCAGCTAATTAGCCAAGTCACAGAGGACTCTGGTTCTTTTTACTGGAGAATGACATTTAGAAACCAAGGTCTGTGTGCTGAAAGTAGTTGTTGCTACTGGTTGTCACTGTGCTGGGGTATTTATGTCCATGTGTGTACATTTACATTTGTTTACTTATTGATCTCTCTATGTATGTAGAAGCTATGGTTTTAAACAGGTTTAAAACTTTAGGACTGTATGGTTTGCCCTTCAATATTTATAATTCCCTTTTCCAGTTAGCTTCATTATTCTTAATATATTTACTAACTTTACCAGCTTCCTACATATAACCCACTTACATTGGACTCTGATACCTGAAAAAAATGGTCCTTTCTACATGCTCATTCTCCTCATTGTTTTTAACCTGCAACATGTTAACATTACTTTTGTTATCCCTCTACACAAGTATCCTGCTCATCCCACTTGAGATTATTGCTTTATGTTGCCCTTCTTACTCCTTCCTAATGGCTATATGTATGTATATATATATATATATATATATATATATATATATATAGAAACAAGGTTGCTTCACATATCAATTCCAGGTCCCTCTCCGTTTCCCTCCCCTCCTCCCATGCCCTCCCACCAACCCCCCCCAATATCCCCTCATTTCCCCAGGGAGGGTGAGGCCCTCCATGGGGGTGTCCATAGTCTGTCATTTCATCCAGGGCAGGGCCTAGACCCTCCCCCAAGAGTTCAGGGTGAGAGTGCATCTCTCATTGTTGGATGGGAGTCCAAAGTTCATTTGTATACCTGGGATAAATACTGATCTACTACCCAAGGCTCAATAGATTACCTAGGCCTCCTCACTGACACCCACATTCAGGGGTGTTTCGACCACCCTCGAGCAGCAAGAATGACTCGGCAACGAGGAATCTTCTTCTCACAGTTTATTCGGGAAACTTGCTTACAGGGAGTGGCCCCGACCCCAGGAAGCCGGGGCTTAATATACTCAGCGATAGCCAATCAATTACACCCAGGTGGCACGCTAGGATAGGTTGTCACCAAGCAGATCTACCTTATTAGGAGAAGGGTACGTGGCCTTACTCCTAATAAGGAGTTGTTTACTTACTGAGAGCACTCGCTGTTGGGCTGGTGGAATGCAGAAACCGGCGCCATCTTATAGGCCCAGTACTCTGCAGCTCCCAACACAGGGGGTCTTGATCAGTCCCATGCTGGATTCCCAGGCTTTTAGAACTGCTAGGAAATGACTTGAAGAAAGACTCCAATGTCTCTTAAAATACAGATGCAAGCCCACTTATATATAGCTATCCTTCTCTAGATTAGTTACAAATTCTTAGTCATCTTTAAAAGTTTTATGCATTTCTCTACCTTTGATTTTCTTAGCTGTCCTTGTATACACAAACTCCATTGATATTGCTCTCAGTTTTCTTTAAAAAATTCTTGTTTGTGAGTGTGTGTGTGTGTGTGTGTGTTTGTGGTGTGTGTGTATGGTATGTGTGTGTTGTGTGTGTGTATGGTATGTGTGTATGGTGTGTGTGTGTGTGTGTGTGTGTGTGTGTGTGTGTGTGTGTGTGTGTGTACAGGCAATCAAAGGAGTTGGTTGTCCCTTTCTACCATGTAGATTCTGCGGATTGACTTGAGGTCCTCAGACTCAGCAGCAAGTGCCTTTAGTGGCTGAGCCATCTTGCTGACCTTGTACTCTTTCTCACTACTTCCTGTCTATGGCCAATCCCCTCCACCTGTTCTCTCAGTACTTTTACCTCCTTCTTCAGCGAATGTGCCAGTGCCATATCATTTAGGCCTTTTCCTTTGTATCCCAAGCCTTTTCCAACTTTACTTTTACTAATAAACTTTTCCTACATTTTCCATCTCAAAATGAAAAGCAGGTAAAACCTGCTTCCCTTAAAAACACTCTCAGACTTTCTTTCGCCCTCCCTTCATTGCTGATTTTCTGGAAAGAATTGGAAAAGTCCTTTGTTTCATTATCCCTCATCACGAACTGTTGGTTATTTCAGACTGCTATGTTAAGCCTTTGAAAGTGTTCTCACCACACTCACTGTTGACTCCTTCTTGCATGGTCTACTAAGTAACCCCCCTCTCCCCACTTCCCTGATCTCTTTGTGGTTTGTGATACTGTTCCCCTCATTCTTGGTCTCTGGTGATATTTCTTCTTTTGGCTGCTCTTTTCCAGTCTTCTTCATAGGTTCCTCTTTCTCTGTTGATCCATTAAATGTTGACTATTCCAGGGTTTTTATCTTCTGCATTTTTGAAGGCTACCTTTGTACATGCTGGATAAAGAATCTCATCTATTTTCAGTCCTTCGGTTGCTATGTGTATGTTGAATGCCTTTCAAACTATATTTCCTGGCCTCCCTTGTGTTCTAGCTTTTCTTCCTGTCTCCTGGATGTCTTCCTTTGGATGTCCCATTGGGTTTCTCAAATTCAACTTAGAGCTATAGCTCAGTGATAGACTGCCAATTAACCATGGTTGGAGTCAATTCCTAATTCTGAACAAACAAGGAACAGCATTGCAATGCAGTTGCCCCATTCTGCTCTTGCTGCGTTTTCTTCCACTCATGTAAGCTAAAAACTTGCATCTATTCAGGTCGTGTCAGGTCCTTTTCTTACCTCTTGAATCTTTGTATCTCCCGTTCTACTACTATGACACAGGCCAGACTCACAGGATTTTGATAGACTTTTAAATGTGGTTTCTTGCCTTTAACATTTCATGCCCCATTATATCCTTTAAGGTGTATGGATGGGAGAATTAACTGTCATTCAGCAAGTATTTATTCAGCAGACTTTGTCCTGAAGGTGGGTGAGACACATTTGAGTGGATCATGGTAGGGAAAGCAAGGACACCAATCAATGCATAATTGTAATACAAATTTAAATGAGTTCATATTCGTGAGGCACATAGAACCATATTGACAAATATATAATTTGTATTATGATGTAGAAAATATACACAGGACTTCAGGACAGTGCGGGAGTCAAGAGCGTGGTTGGGATAGCTAGGTAAAACAGCAGCTTCATGACTGTGGAAGAATCAGGAGGCAAACAGGTAGTAGCTGAGACCTTGTGCTTAGTTCCTCTCTTCTGGGGATGTTTGCTTGATATTGTCAGTTTGTGCTAGGTTCTTACTCTCATTTAGCACTGTTTCCTTGGGATAGTGACAAGATCCTTGGTTGGTCTTGGCTTTGGAATTTGGTTTCCTTACTAAATTAAAAACTGAGGGAGAGTCAGATTAAAGGATCTCCAGATTGATTCATTTATAAAATTCTTTGATGCCAGCTATAGTAGAGTGGCCTGAAATCCTAGCACCCAAGAGACTTGAGGCAGGGGCTGCAGAGATGACTCAGTAGTGAAGAGCACTGGCTGCTCTTGGTGAGAAGCCAGGTTTAACTTCCAACAGGAACATGGCAGCTCACACTGTATGGAAATCCAGTGCCCTCTTTGAACCTTGTGCTGGTCAGTTTTATGTCACTCTGACACAAGCTAGAGTCATCAGTTGAGAAAATGCGTCCATATGGCAAGCCTGGGGGTGGATTTTTGTAATTAGTGATTGGTGTGGGAAGGCCCACTCTATTGTGGGTGGTGCCACTCCTAGGCCGGTGGTCCTGAGCTCTAGAGAGGAGCACTCTGAGTAAGCCAAGAAGAACAAGCCAGTAAGTAGCACTCCTCTGTGGCCTCTGCGTCAGCTCCTGCCTCCAGGTTCCTGCTCTAGTTGAGTTATTATCCTGACTTCCTTTAATGATGAATTATATTATGGAAGCATTAGCCAAATAAAATCTTTCCTCTCAAAGTTAATTTTAGTCATGGTGTTTTATCACAGCAATAGTAACCCTAACTAGGGCAGACCTCTACAGGATCCTGCACGAAAGCAGTACAAATACATACATACAAGTATGCACATATAAAAAGAGGGAAAATGTCTTTGCCATGCCTGGAGGCTCACATCCGCAATTCCAGTACTTAGGAGAATGAGGTAGAAGAATCACCACATGTTTGAGACCAGCCTGAGATATGTAGTGAGTTCCAGTTCAGCATGGGTAACATAGTGAGACCTGTCTCAGTAAACCAAAAGAAAAAAAAGTCTTGGGTTCTAGAATAATTACTTGAGTATTAGGGGATTTTATTGAAAACAAAACCTTTTGTGAATTTCAGGAAGAGAATTGTAAATGGAAGAAATAATTCTGCTTTTCTGTTATTTTGTATTCTTCTGGTTTCCTACAGTTCTTGTTTGCTACATGCACAACAAAAATGATTCTATGGCGATGTCTCCTTTATCAATAGTGACAGCCCTAGTGGACAAGATTGGTAAGCAAGATCAGCTTCTGTGCATTCTTAGAATTTTCAGTAATTATAAAGTATTATTGGGATTGGGGAAAATTGTTTCATTTACAGGGGATTTTAATGTATATATGAAACTATCTAGATGTTTAACACAATGCTTATATAACTAGGTGGAAGAGTTTAACTTGATTCCAGTTTTTAGAGTCTTTGCATGGTCTCAAATTTTTAGATTTTTTTGTATGTCGAAATTATTTTAGCTTTGAAGAAAAACAGAGTACAACTTGTCAGCTTTTCAAATGATATTGTTCACTTATAGTACAGATTTTGCTGATACGGTTTCAATGGCTATTGTCTTCCTGTTTTGCAGATATGTGTAAACAGAGCTTAAGCCCTGAGCAGGACATTAAGTTCACTGGCCATGTTAGCTGGGTTGGAAAGACATCCATGGAAGTGAAGATGAAAATGTTCCAGGTGTGTATGTACCTTACGATCCCTCACTTCAAATATAACCAGCTAGTCTCACTTGACTAAAAGCTGTCTATATTCATGGACAGGTATATAACTCACAGCTTCAAAACAATTAACAGTTCAAGGAGGGGTAGCATCTTTCATTTACACAAAGAGGGGCACATTATCAACTACTTACATTTAATATATATTACTTTGTAATCACGTACAGTAAGGTGCTTGTTTCTGATTTTTCCCAGGATTATTTCATGAAAGTCTGAGTTATACTAGATGTGAATTGGATTGATTACTGTATGACTTTTCTGGGGATGCTATACCACAAAGTCCCATGAACTGGTGGCTTTAAAACCTCAGCAATTTATGGTTTGAAATTGGAGATTCTGATTCCCAAAACAGGTTGTCAGCAGAGTCATATTCTGTGTGAATCTTGTAGGAAATTATCTTTGCTTAACTCTTCTTGGTTTTAGGAGGCTTTACTACATTTGTCATTGTGTCTTAGTTAGTGTTTTTATTGCTGCAATGAAACACCATGACCAAAAAGCAGGTTGGGGAGGAAAGGGTTTATTTGGCTTACATTTCAGCCTTGCTTCTTATCCCTGATTGGAGTCAAGATAGGAAATCAAACAGGGCAGGAACCTGGAGACAGGAGCTGATTCAGAGGCCATGGAAGGGAACTGTTCACTGACTTATTTCCCATGGCTTGCTCAGCCTGCTTTCTTATAGAACCCAGGACCAGATGCCCAGGGACAGCACTGCCCACTATGGGCTGGGCTGTCCTCCATTGATCACTAATTGAGAAAATGCCTTATAGTCAGATCTCATGAAGGCATTTCCTCAACTGAAGCTCCTTCCTCTCTGATGACTCTAACATGTGTCAGGTTGGCACCCAAAACTGGCCAGTACATACTGCATGGTTTTCATGTGCCTGTATTTCTATTTCTTTTCTCTTACTAATTTGCTAATCATATTGGATTGAAGGCCCACTCTGCTCCAATATGAACTCATTTTTTGTACTTTTTTTGAGATGAGGTTTCCTATGACCTGGGCTGGCCTTGAAACTGGTCCTCAAGAATGTGTGAGTATCCAATGGAAGGCTAGCTTGTAGTGGCTTTGCCATCAGTACAACTGGTGAGGCAAACTTACAGAAGCAGTTGGAAGTTCTTGTTTTGTTTTTCTGAGATAAGTTCATCTCCTGTAGTCTGTGTTAGCTTTGGGTTCCTAATCCTCCTGCCTCTACCTCTCAAGGGCTGAGATCATAGGCATGTGTTCCAATGTCTGGCTAAAGTTTTTTTGAAAAAGAGCCTCACTCTGTAGCACAAGTTATCCTGGAACTCACAGCAATCTTCCTGTCTTAGCCTAACAAATGCTGGAATTACATGCGTGAGTTACTATACTTGGCTTTCATTTTATCTAATGTCTGTAGTGTCCCTTTTTCCAAATAATTCCCAACTGTATGTCTGGAGGATAGGCCTTCCTTATACTTTTGGGGAGAAAGATACTTCAGTTCTTCTCTTTTCATGGTACTGGTGATCAAACTCCTGTTCTTGCATGTGCTAGGCAAGTGCTTTACAACTGAGCTACACACCCAGTGGGTTGCAGTTAAATCAGCTCCTCTCATGAGCACAACTCAGAGAATGATCAGTGCAGATACCAAATAATTTAGAGTATTCCCAGTATTTCACTGTGAAAAACTTAATGGTGATTTATTTAATTATGTTGTGGTAGTCAAAGGATGTATTATTCAGACAGATTTTTTTTCTACTCTAGAATTCTAAAGCATTTTATCTCTTGGTTAAAAAACCAACAAGTTTAAGACTTGAGAAAAGTGACGCTTGCTATGTATAGTCGTTGTTTGGCAGAACAGGTGAATTTGCTTTTAGAATTTTGAAAATTTATCCTTTTATAATTTTAAACATGCATATAAGGCATTTTAAATATATGTACCTCTATTATCCTCTTTTAACCACCTTTGAGTCCCACTGAACCATTTCTTCCCTTCTTTCCAGCTAGGATCCTTCATACTTTTATGTCACTTTTGTGACCCACTGAGTTTAACTAGGGTTGCTTGCTTGAGCATGAGTGGGGGGCGGGGTATTTACTGGAACAGTGGCTACACCACTGAATAAAATGATTCCTTCCACACTGGTATTTGTTAACTACAGTGACTGCTAAGGGAGTGGTGAGGCCTCCCAAGCCCCTCCTCTATCGCTGATGGAATGTTTGAGGGACCAGTCTTTCGCTGGTCTTGTGCAGGTAATCAGGCCACTGTGACTTCGTGAGTGCGGTGGCCAGATACTGAACAGGAGACAGCATTGTACAGTACTTTTCCCCATCCTCTGAGTCTTAACAGGTTTGCTACCTCCTTTCATGGGATGGTCTTCAAGCTTTATGGGAGGGGGGTGATATGGATATCTCTGTGTAGGGCTGCATCCTCAACAGCTACTCAATTCTCAGCACTTTTGACCAGTTAAGTATCTGCATTAACTACCAGTATAATTTTAAAAATTAAATACTGTATCAAAGTGATTGAATTGTTTTCCCATATTTATGTAATTGACAGTAATGCTGGATTTTTTTGTCCTTTTCAGGATACTAAAACAAAATACTTACAAAGTTGCTGTGGATGCTTTTATGATTTGTAGACACTTAACCAAACTACTTGGTTAATTTCTATCGTACTCCTTGCTGTGCAGAGTATATCTCTGGCCTAGGGCCTGCATTCCAGGGAATCACAGCTATTTGACTCTTGTATAAGTAAGTTATAAAAAAGATACAAAATTGAGAGAGAGAGAGAGACAGAGAGAGACAGACAGAGACAGAGACAGACAGAGACAGAGAGAGACAGACAGACAGAGAGACACAGAGAGAGAGACAGAGACAGAGAAAGAGACACACACACACACAGAGAGAGAGAGAGAGAGAGAGAGAGAGAGAGAGAGAGAGAGAGAGAGAGAGAGAAGTCAAGTCCTCAAGTCACATACCTTTCTCTAGCCTGTCCTCTGGGTTTACCCATGTTTAGCAGGTACAATTTCCAAAGCTAATCTTAGATCATGTCATTCACTTTCTAAAATCCTTCAGTGACCATTGAGTTGGAATGCATATTCCTTTTATTAGGTGGTGCCCAGGGTGCTTTATAAACTAGATGTAATCTACTTTTCCAACTGTATTCCCTTTAATTTACCATTTATGTGTCTTCTTTTTTTTTTTCTTTCAATGCTGAGTTTTGAATCCAGGGCCTTGCGTATAACAGACAAGTGCTGTACCAATGAGCCACATCCCAGCCCCGTATACCTTCTTGGTGCTCACTGATGCTCGTTGAGTAGTCTGTAAGGAGGAAGCTACATATCTCTGCATTCCTAGTGTGTGACACTAGGAACTGTTAATTGTAGTAAATCACAATGTTAATATTTAGCAAGCAAGTGTCTGTTAATGCCTTTTGCTTTACCTGAAATGCCTTGTGCTCTGATTCTGTACATTCCCACTGTGCTTTAGGGTCACATCTTGCTCGACCCCTTCTTTGACTCTTCCAGTTTGGAGCATTTGTTCCCTCTTCAAGACCTACTCTGTCTGTCTTTCCTGGCACCTGCTGCTCTCTGCCCTACAAAACGGTATACAAATATCTTTTCTATTCCACTAGATAATATATTTATCTACAGCAGTACATGGGTTTGACTCAGCTAACCCACTTCCCAGTGTGTTCATGAAGTCAATTTGGCCATCAGAATTATTGAGCATCTCTTTTGTCTTGGGTATATGACAGTGAGCAAGACACACAAAGTTCCTTTTTCTTAAAGCTTGTATTCAGGAAGGGCCCACTCATGAAATGCCCCATTCATTAATTTTTGAAACATTAGTTGCATATCTACCTGCCAGTATTTGTGCTTAGTATTGGCAACGCAAATGTGAAGGAAAATGTTGTTAGTCCACAGGAACCTGACTATATTGTAGGGAGACAGCCACATAAATAAATGACTGCTATATATTTTGCAGTATTTCTCAGAATGGGCATTTTGGCATTTTATTCAGGAAATTTCTTAGTTCTGAAGATTTGCAGGTGCATAGTGAGATGTTTAACTCCCTGTTTACCCTCAGTATCAATTACTGTCAATGAGAAATGTCCCCCATAGTTCCAAGGACTGGGATACTTGGTTCCCAGTGTGGTAGCACTGTTTAAATAGTTTTAGAAGGTGTGGCCTTGCTGGAGGATGTCACTGGGGGTGGCCTTTGTGAGAAGTAAAGACTGGCTCTCTGTTTCCTGCTTGTGCTTCAAGCCTTCAACTAACTATTCACCCACCATGCTTGTTGCCACGCCTCTCCTCCATGGTGTACTCTAATCCTTTTGGATTCATAAGCCCAAATAAACCCTTCTGTAGGTTGCTTTGGTCATGATGCTTTGTCCCAGCAACAGAAAAATAACCAATACAATGACAAAAGCAACTTAAAGTAGAGAGGATGTATTTTGGCTCCATTTCAGAGGCATTTCAGTCCATCATGCATGTTAGGATGGTAGCATTTTTGTCAGCGAGAACATGATTGGTACTTCTCATGGCAGCAGGTAAGTCTGAGAGCACAGTCCAGATGCAGAAGTGAGGATCATCTTCAGAGCCCACTCTAGTGAAATAATTCTGCTGCCTAAAGTCCACAACCCAAGGCTTCCACAATGTTCCAAAATAGTGCCACAAGCTGGAGATCAAGTGTTTAAAGACATGAGTCCTAATTAAAGCAGCAAGCACATGAGTCTGTCAGAGGCATTTCACATTCTAACTCTTATCATTTCTCCTGTGATCCTCTAATGCTCATAGCTATGACATAAAGCAAAATTCATTTAGTCTAACTTAACAGTTTCAGTTCTGTTCTAAAGTTGCATCTCAGGAACTTTAGGGGTTGGAGAGATGGCTCAGCAGTAAACAGTGGTTACTACTAGAGAGGATCAGGGTTTGATTTCCTGAATCCATTCTGGGTATCTCACAATGTAAGATCGATGGTTCTGGTTTCTGCTGGCATCAGCAGTCATTTATACACACATACTCTCCCTCCTCAGCACACACACACACACACACACACACGAGAGAGAGAGAGAGAGAGAGAGAGAGAGAGAGAGAGAGAGAGAGAGAGAGAGAGAGAGAGAGAGAGAGAGCTCCAGGAGGATCTGATGCCTCTGGTACACATGGAAACACACACACACAAAAATTAAACAGTTTTTAAAAATTTGAAGCTGTGAACTGATGTGAAATAAAAAACAATACTTCTATTGTAAAAGGTACATGCTAAGCATTCCCATTTCAAATTTCAAAAGAGAAGAACAAGAAAGTAGCAAGACTGAAACCCAGCAGAGCAACCATTAAACTTTGTAGCTCCATGTCCAGTGCCTGAGCTGTGGTGGCATCTTTGTACACGTTATATCTGCATATAATGCATTTTGATCACTTTTACCCATTTTCCTGCTTTTCTTAAACCTCCTTTCAAAAGGCCCCTTTCCTTTATGACCCAGTGTTTCATCAGAGTTGCTTGTATGAGCATAGATGGGGGGTTATTTACTGGGGCATAGGCAACATACTAGTGGCTATACCCCTGAAAATAATGGTTCCTCCCATGTCCAGGGCTATTAAATGCTGGAAGATCCTCCCCATTGATGATCAGCAGTGTTGACAGCCAATCTTGTATAGGTAACCACAGCTGCTGTGAGTTCACAAATGCAACAGTTATGGCATGTCTAGTGTTTCACAACATTCTTCCCTACCCTCTGGCTCTTCCAGTCGTTTTGCCCTTTTCTTCTACTGTGTTCCTTGGGTTGAGTGATGACACAGATGTCCTATATAGGGCTGGAGCTCATTAATTTTTATTGTTGTTTTGCTTTTCTGTGTCTCATTGGTTGTCCTGTAATTCTCTAGGTAGACCAGGCTGTTCCCAAACTCACAGAGATTCACCTGCCTCTGCCTCCTGAGTTCTGGCATTAAAGGTGTATGCCATTACACTTGTCTTTATCTCATTACTTTTAAATTTACAGGGGACACACACACACACACACACACACACACACACACACACACACACACACACACACACACACAGATTCTTTGCCAGAATGGAACATAAAAGGCCTCTAGTCTGGGTCCTGATAGAAGACTTATTTCCATGTGAAACTCCATAAGCATAGTTTCACTATCCACAATTCCAATATCATTCTGGTCTGCTGAACTCTTACCAGAATGGTCCATTAAACAAGTCTGATGCTGTAAACATTGTCAGTTCTTTCTGTAAGCCATTTCCAAACGCCCAAGAACAACATGATCTGGTTTGTCTCAACCATCTTTCTTCTTGATACCAGTTTTCTGTATTGGCTACTTCTGTTTTTATTTTTTTAGATTTTTTGTTTTACTTCATGTGTATAAATGTTTATGAAGCTTTTGCCTTTGAGCATATATGTGCATGCCTGGTGAGTCTCCTGGAACTGAAGTTATGAATGAATGATTTTTGAGCCACCATATCGCTGCAAGAGCAAGTGCCCTGAACCATGGAGAAATCTCTTCAGCCCCAGTTATTTTTCTTGGTATTTTGACAAAATACCTGAGAAAATCAGCCTCATGGGAGAATGATTTATTTTTGTTACTAGAGAACTGGAAAATCACTTCTCCTTGTATAAGGCGGCCTAATGGTAGAGGACCCTTCCCCATAGTGTTTCTTCTTTCCTAGACCAAAAGAAAAACAAAACAAAACAGGTCACTAGAGACCAGAAAGAAGGTTTAGGAAAACTAATGAAACCAGAGTTCAAACAAGGCAGTTGAGTCAGGAAATAAAGAGCCAGTTGTATCAGCCCACCTCAACACACATTAAATTTTCATAAAAAAATATAATGTCTTCAAGAATTTTGATGATAGTTAGTAAAAGGATTTACCTGATGGAGCACAGGTAATGGTGCACACAAGTAATAATAATAATAATAATAATAATAGTTCCAAAACTAGGAACTATGAATCCCAGGTCCGCAGATCATCTGAACTGGTCCCCCTCCTTTCATGTGAGTTTTGGTTACCCACTGGGTTTAATTAAGGTTACATGCGGAAGCATGGGTGGAGCGTTATTCACTGGAAAATGAACAACTTAGACAATGGCTATGCCGTGGAGACATATGACTACCCCTTCCACAGCAAACATTAATGGCCAGTAGCCCCTTATGGAGAGGTGAAGCTTCATGAGACCCTCCCTTGTTCATGGTGGAATATTGATACGTACACTCTTGTGTAGTCACCAGCTCCTCTTTGAGTTCGTGGAAATGGCAGCCATGCCATGGCCAGAGGATAGAATTCCAAAGTCTTCCTTTCCATCTTCTGACTCTTAATTTTTTTCATCTTGTCTTCCATGATGTTCCCTGAACCTTGGACAGGGTGATACAGATGTTGCCTTAAGGGCGGTCTCTGATTTTTAAATTCATTTATTAAATAGCTGAGGGTGTTGATACCTGCCTGTGATCCTAGCCCTGGGAGGCCAAGGCATGAGGATCATGCGCTCAAGATCACCATTGGCTACATAGCAAGTTCAGAAAGCCAGCCTGGGCTACATGGGACCGTGTCTCCAAATACAAAACAAAAGAAATTTATCAAAAGCATCCTTGTCCAGGTGACAAGACTCATGAACCACTTTAATGAGCATTTATTTACCTAGACTATACATATGTAGCCCTCAAATTAAAAACTGGAATTTTTGTCTAAGAATTATCTGAGCTGTCTGAATGACTTTCTCTAGTTGTTTGAGGAGAAACCTGGAAAATGTAAGCAGCTTTAGTCCTGAAATGGGTGCAGTTACTGAACTGAAGACACTTCCCTTCAGAGGGAAGGCATTTTTGCATAAGTAATTTCTCTGTTTATAGAGAGGTCTTACCTGCTGAGCTATCTTGCCAGCCCCATTTTCAATCAGAATTGTTTTTGTTGTCCTCCCACTGCCTCCTTCTTCTGCATTATTGCCTTCTTTTGTTCCTTCCCACCCTTAGTAGTTTCTTTTTCATTTCTTGTTTTTTCTTTTGGTTTTTCAAGATAGGGTTTTTCTGTGTAGCCCTGGCTGTCCTGGAACTTGCTCTGTAGAGCAGGCTGGCCTTGAACTCACAGACATACCCTTGCCTCTGCCTCCCAAGTACTAGGATTAAATCTGTGCATCACCACTGCCCAGCTTTCAATTTTCATGTCCCACAATGACCTCTTTAATTTTTGTTGAGCGTTAATGGATTCTCCTACTAGTCTAGTAGCCATTAAGGCCATTAAGGGATCCTAGTAGCCTTTATGGAATCCTTTTAGTTTCCCTGAAAACAACAAGTTTTCTAACTCTCTTTTCTCTTTGGGTTTTGATGTAATTACATGAATATCTTAATCTCAGACCATTTATCTTTTGCTTTTTAAAAATATAATTATAACAGGCTATTTTTTTTAATTTATGAGGTTGAGTTCTCTACTTTAACTGGATGTTTTGGGTGTGTCCCACATACTTTCTGAAGAGGTATACAGGAAATAATTAACATAGCCAATAAGAAAGTTTTAGGATGTTGAACATCGTAATTTTCTCTGTTGTTTGAGATAGGCACTCTTGCCTATACATTACAGTTGTGTTGCTTGGTCCTCTTGTGGGACTCCTAATAGCAGGAACAGGGGCTGTCTCTGACTCTTTTACTGGCTTTTTGGGACGCTGCTCCTTATGCTGGGTCACCTTGCCCAGCCTTTGTACATGGAGAAGTTAGTCTTACTGCAACTTGGTATGCTATGCTTTGTTGATACTCATAGAAGACCTTCCCTTTCCTAAACAGAAATGGAAGAGGAGTGGATTGGGGGTGGAAATAGAGTGGGGATGGGGGGACTGGGAGGGAAGGAGAGAGAGGAAACTGAGGCTGGGATCTTAAACAAATTTATTTGAAAGGAATTAAATAAAGAATAAATAGGGAAAAACTGGAGGAAGTTTTAGGATCAAGACAGGAGGGCCTGGAGCATTCATCAGACACAGAAGTAGCCATTACTTGTATGTTTATGAAAATAATGGTAATATAATAAGAGTTGAAGAGCTAGTAGGATAGAGAATCTGGACTTTTTATGGCTTATTAAAATACCACAGACTTGACCAGAGACTACTGGAATGCGTTGCCTTATTTTTTCCTTTAACAGTATGTTTAATGGTATCCATTTGAATAGATCCTGAAAACTGGCATAGTACTCAGAGTCCTTGTGTCTGTTTAGTCCAGTTTAATTTTACCAGTTCTTCCACCCTTTAGTTATAGTTTCCCTGTCCAGTGTCACTTCATTCTGCAGGATATGCACTGGTTCCAGTCTAACCCCTGGATTCCCTGTGACCTTTCTGATCATAACTGGAGTTGCAAGGCCCTTTTAGAGGGCTTCTGTTTTCCTTTGAGCCGTGGTTGCCCTTGAAAGTCATGGGTCAAAATACGAGCTATCCTCTTAGCATTTTTTTTCTGTTTGGATTTTCTGTCAAAGCTTTGACTGTTGAACACCCTGGAAAGTTTTTCAGTCATTCATATATATATAGAGAGGGGGGGCGGGGCACAGTCACACAAGGTTATAATCATAACTCAGTGTAGCCTGAAACCCACCAGGGTAGCCGCAGACTCACAGGCCATGTTCTGCCTTGACCTCCCAAGTTGCTAGGATGACAGGCATGTGCTGCCACACCCAGCCAGTTTTTTTCAGTCTTAAAGAGGTAGTAGTGAGTTCTAATTTTGACATTGGTATGACAATTGGATAATACCTCAACCTAGAGTACTTTTAGTTCTTAGGGGTATGACATTTTTAACCATATTCACACAGATCGTGTTGACTCTACTGTATAATAACCTAAGATAATAATAATAATAATAATAATAATAATGAGAGCTATCAGAACTGTCGTCGGTCTTCATAGTAAATTCATTCCTTATAACTTTGTTTTTCTTTTCTTTGTTCTTTAGCTGCACAAGGATGATGCATTTTGGCCTGTTTTGGATGCAACCTTTGTAATGGTGGCTCGGGATTCTGAAAACAAAGGGTAATTGCTGCTTTTTCATGATTCCTGAATTTGAAAATTTTCAAAACTATATAACACTGCAGAGAAAGCTAACGAATTTCCATAGTACCCTGAGCCTGCAGTGACTGATAGAGACACATCATTTAGTGATGAACACTCAGCCATCCCTTATTCTCTGCACTTTGAGTGGTAATGGGTCTCCATTAACCTTTGGCCACTACGCGAAGAATCTTCTTTTTGTAGGGCTAAGAGGAGCGCTTTTCTACTGCATTAGTCCTTTATACCTTCCTGCCCTCTGGTATGACAAGATGGTTTAGGCCCACCTTTTCCCGTTTATTCTCTCATACATTTCATCCTGACTGCAGTTTCTACTCCCTTCACTTCTCCAAGTCCCTTCTCCCACCTCTCCTCTCCCCAAGACTTCCCATTCCTCTGTTTCCCTTCCAGTGAAGAGCAGGCCTCCCAGGGATATCCACCAAACATGGCCTAATAGGATACAATAAAACTGGACACAGACCTTCAAATCACAGCTGGACTTGGCAAAAGGGTCCTGAGTGCAGGCAAAAGAGTCAGGAGTCAGAGATGCTCCACCACTCCAATTTTTAGGAGTCACACAAGAACACCAAGCTACACAACCATAACATATTTGTAGAGGACCTAGCTCAGACCCATACAGAGTCCATGTTTCTTACTTCAGTCTTTGTGAGCTGCTATGAGCTGTGGTCTCATGGTGTCTTGATCCCTCTGGCTCTTGGAATCCTTCCTTACCCTCTTCTGCAGGATTCTCTAAGTTTTACCTAATGTTATGCTGTGGGTTTCTGCATTTGCCCCAATCAGTTGCTGCATACTGTTGCTCTGATGACAGTTGAGCTAGGCACTGATCTATGAGTATAGCAGAATACCGTTAGGAATCATTTCATTGACTTATTTTGGCTAGTTGTGTTTAGTTCTATCCTAGATCTTGGGCTATCCAGCCTCTGATTCCTGGCCATCCATGCAATGTCAGGCATGGGCTGCCTCTTATGAAGTGGGCCTCAAGTGGGACCTGTCAATGGTGGGCCATCCCACAAGTTCTGCACCACCATTACCTCCTCAGCACATATTATAGGCAGAACAGATTATAGGTCAAAGATTTTGTGGCTGGGTTGATGGTTCAGTCCCACTGCTAGAAGCCTTACCTGGCTAAGGAAGATAGATGGTTTGAGATCTGTATCCCCCATTACTAAGGGACTTCAGTAGGGTCACCCTTATGGATTCCAGGAAATTTTCAATTCACTAGGTTTCTACATAGTTCCCCCTCCCCACAAATGCCCCACAATTCCAGTCATTTCTCCCCGTACTCTCTCCCTCATCTTAATACCCTTCCTTCTGAAGCCCTGGAGTTAACCATTTATCTAAAGTTGGGACTCCTTTTGGTGGGAACTGATATTTGACTTCAAATATGTAGGCACTGGAAGTATATTGATAATATTTTGTCACTTTTTTCTATGCCTCGGTATATAGAGCAAGCATTTATGTTAAACAAACAAAAAAACCTCAGGAGTTTAAATGGACATTTTGGTGTGAAATTTAACTATACAGGCCTTAGGGTTTTTACTCTCAAATTGAGTACTTGGTTTACAGAAACGGTTACTTGCCCAAGACTTGCAAACTGAGGGCTGTTTAGTTGGGTATGGGGATTGTTGCTCTATTACTATTTGCTCAGGACAACCTGGTGACCCAATTACATATGTATTAGAAATACAATGTGGGAGTCAGTCATGAAATTTTTTTTCCTGTTGTATAGAAAGCTTGTTTGGAACACCAAGTTAAGGTTAAAAACTCCCTTAAGCTAGGGGTAGTGGCACATGCTTTTTGTAATTTTAGCACTTGGAAGGTTGAGACAGGCAGATTGTTAGTTTATGTCCAGCTTGGGGTAAATGAGACCCCTTCTAAAGAAAAAGAAAAAGTGCCTTAATACCTGTGTGTTCCTGTTAGCTCCAGCTGACCTTCTGTGACCAGTGGCTGGCCAGAGTCTCATTTGCAAACACTGAGGGTATTGTTTGCAGTTTCTCTTCCAGCAGATGCATTTCAGCTTCCCAAGTTTCCCATTTCAGTTCTCTTGTTTCTTCAAAACAGTGGTTCTCAACATGAGGGTTGTGACCACCTTTGGGGATTGCATATGAGGTATTTATGGTTCATAACAGTAGTAAATTTGCAGTTATAAAGAAGCAACAAAACACATTTATGGTTGGGGGGTCACCACAATATGGGGAACTATATTAAATGGTCACAACATTAGGAGGTTTGAGAACCACTGTTTTAAAGCATTTTAAAATTTTATTTATTGGGGCTGGAGAGATGGCTCAGCAGTTAAGAGCACTGACTGTTCTTCCAGAGGTCCTGAGTTCAATTCCCGGCAACCACATGGTGGCACACGAGCACCTTGAATGAGATCCGGTGCCCTCCACTGGCATGCAGACAGAAGACTGTATACACAATAAATAAATAAAATATTTAAAAAATTTTTTATTTATTGAAATGTATATGCACATGACGTGGCACATATATGGAAGTGAGAATACAGTCAGTTCTCTTCTTCCACCGTGTGTGTCTGGGGACTAAAACTCAGTCATCACACTTGTCAGCAAGTTCCTTTACAAACTAAGCGACGTTGCTGATCCTATACAGTGTGTGTATGTGTGTGTGTGTGTGTGTGTGTGTCTGTATTGCACAATATCTTAGTTACTTTTCCTGTTGCTACGGTAAAGTGCCCTGACAAAAGAATTTAGGGGAGAGAGGGTTTCTTGTGGCTCACAGGTCAAAAGAGTACAGTCCATCATAGTAGGGAAATAAAGGCAGCGGGAGATTAAAGCAACTGGTTACATTGCATCCATAATCAGGAGACATAACAGTGAATGAATGCTAGTGTGCAGTTTACTTTTTCTACTTTCTGTAATCTGGGATCCCAGACAGGGAACAGTGCCACCTATAGTGGGCTGCTCTTCCCACCTCCATTAGTGTAATCCTCCATAGGCATACCTAGACACTAACATAATTTAGATAATTCTTCATGTGTCTATGCAGGGGCCTGTCTTCCATGTGAGACCAAATTCGGTCAAAGTGACAACACTAACCATTGCAGAATACATTCACTATAAATAGTGATGAATTTCATAAAGATAATTTTGTACAAATGTACTATAGACTTCATATTGACTTCAGCAATCTATTTTCTTCTCAATCCTTTCTCTACATTTTCCCAGATAGTCTCATTTCTAACTTCATGTCGTATATATGTATATATTATATATAAATTTATGTTTTGGTTTGAAATCTAATATTCACAAATGGTGCATATGTTGGATTCTTTTACTACAGTGAACAACTCTTTTTTCCTTAATTTTTTTTTTTTTTGGTTTTTCGAGACAGGGTTTCTCTGTGGCTTTGGAGGCTGTCCTGGAACTAACTCTTGTAGACCAGGCTGGCCTCGAACTCACAGAGATCCGCCTGCCTCTGCCTCCCAAGTGCTGGGATTAAAGGCGTGTGCCACCAACGCCCGGCTTTTTTCCTTAATTTTTAATTATGAGGAATTCATTTTTTTTATTGTGAAAAATTTTCATTTTTTGTTTTATTTGTAATTTATGTTGATTAATTATAGCTGTTATTTGTTTTATTCTTTGTTTTTAAAAATGTTGAATGATGCAGTGAATCCTTATATGCATTTTACCTAAATTCCCCAGTCAGCATGGTACTACATTTATCTTCCTTCCTTACCCTCTGAAATTATACACATGGGTCATTTAAATGTGCATTTCTGTTGACTTCAACTCTCAGTAATTTAGTATATGTCTCTTCAGAACAAAGTAATTCTCACTGCCTTTATATCGCAAAGTTCCCAACTTATTTAATAGCAAAGCAGTTATATTATCTAATATATGATCCGTATTTGAATTTCGCCAAAGGTCCCTAAAATATCCTTGTGAAACCCCAGCCCAGATTCAGGATCTACTAAAGCAGTGGTTCTCATTCTTCCTAATGCTGAGACCCTTTAATACAGTTGTGGTGATCCCCAACCATACAATTATTTTTTTGCTACTTCATAACTATGGTTTTGCTACTGTTATGGGTAATAATGCAAATATCTGATATGCAGGCTCTCTGATATGAGACCCCTGTGGGGTCAAGACCCACAGGTTGAGAACTGCTGCACTAAAGGGTCCTGCATTTCACTTGGTTATCATGTTTGCTTATCAGAAGTACCTCTTCTATCTTTGAAGACATTGAGAATTTTGTAGAGTCCAAGTAAGTTGTCTTGCAGAACATTGTAAACTCATATTTGTGTTGTAATGAGTAGAATCAGGTTAACTTTGTGGCAAGTACCTGTATCCTGTTTTTTTTTCCTTTTCTTTTTGTGAGACAGGGCCTTATGGAAGTCAAGCTGGCCTCGAACTCATTATGATGATGATCTTAGACTCCTAATCTTCCTTCCTCCCTCTATCTCCCATGTGCTAGGATTATAGGCATGTGCCACCATGCCTGACTTCTGTATCCCTTTTATAATGTGAACTTTCTCGTACATAGTTCGGTCTAGAAGGAGAAGGCTTTCTTAATTGTTCCAGTGTCCATGTATGAGACTATATGTAAGCATTACCTAAAACAAATGACAAAATACGACCTTCTCATGTTGGCAGTCCTGGCTCTCAGGGCCTTACATATGCCAGTCCAGGATCCATCATTGAAATATAACCCTAATGAAGACTTTTAAAATGGTAGGCAGTTGTTCATCTTAGTTTCTTATTAGATGATAACATAAATAGCATATGCTTTTTTAAAAGTAGGTTGGCCTTAAGCTTGACAGCCTCCTGTCTCAACATACCTAACATTGGGATTACAGAGGTGACCTATCAAGCCCACATATTAAACTAAATTTTTCTCTTTTCTTTAGACCGGCATTTGTAAATCCACTCATCCCTGAAAATGCAGAAGAAGAAGAGCTCTTTAAACAAGGAGAATGTATGTTAACGTATTTAAAGTAAAATAAAAATTTAAAGCACATTAATTTTACTGTGGAAGGGAATATCAAAGATTATATGGCTCCCTTATAACAGTCAGATGTCTTACTCATATCAGGAAGTTTTATATAACAAAAAATATAATGTAATTCCAGTTCCAGGGGAACTGACACTCTCGTACAGACATACATGCAGGCAAAAACACCAATGCACATAAAATTTAAAAAATCACATTATTATTAAAAAATCTTTAGCTGGGCAATGGTGGCACATTCCTTTAATCCCAGAAGTCAGGATGCAGGAGCAGATGGATCTCTGTGAGTTTGAGGCCAGCCTTGTCTACAGAGTGAGTTTCAGGATAGCCAAGGCTGTTACACAAAGAAACCTTATCTCTAAAAACAAAGATAAAAAAAAGCAAAAAACCAAAATTCTTAAACAATAAAAGAAAATATTCGCTGGATAGGGAAAGATTTCTTTTGTGGTTTTGGGTTGGAACCCAGGGCCTTGTACATGTGAGGAAAGTGCTTCATCACTGACTTGATCCATTTCTGCAAATTTTTATGCAGTCTCTGCAGCCTTCTCTTGGGAAAAAAGATAGATAGATAGATAGATAGATAGATAGATAGATAGATAGATAGATACATACATACATACATACATACATACATACATAGATAGATACATAGATACATAGATAGATACATAGATAGATACATAGATAGATACATAGATACATAGATAGATACATAGATAGACACATAGATAGATACATAGATAGATAGATAGATACATAGATAGACACATAGATAGATACATAGATAGATACATAGATAGATAGATAGATACATAGATAGATACATAGATACATAGATAGATACATAGATAGACACATAGATAGATACATAGATAGATACATAGATAGATAGATAGATACATAGATAGATACATAGATAGATAGATACATAGATAGATAGATAGATACATAGAAAGAAAGAAAGAATAGAATACAATTCTGGTGGGTTTTGAAACTTAGACATACTTTGTGTGCTACAAAGCACCCTAGCTGCTGTGGGGTGACTCTCCTGATCATACTTCCTCTTTCGTGCATACTCCAGTGAACAAGGGACGAAGGATTGCTTTTACCTCCGCTTCATTACTGAAAATGGCTCCCAGTTCTGAGGAGAGGAATACCATACATGAGATGTTTCTAAGCACACTGGATCCAAAGTAAGTCAAGACTGGGGAGACTGCAAGTTGAGAAAGTATTCAAGTCCAGGGTCTTCTCCAGAGCCACACTTGAGTGGGAAAGTGTTTCTAACCTGTTTCCTCTTAACAGTGAACGCATGACAGTAACTGGGTTTAATTCATCTCCACTTGCACAGGACTATAAGTTTTCACAGTCGAATTTTGCCTCCTAACTCAGTGTGGATGGAGAATACAAAACTCAAGAGCTTGGATATTTGTCATCCTCAGGTACTTTGTGAGCAGTTTTCTGAATGTACTGAATTGCATTCATTTCATAATTGTCTAAAATTTGGTACAGCTTTAAATGGACCTTTCCTGTGGCATTGTTAATTTCTTTGTTCTCTATATAAGGGTAGTCACAAACTTTTGTTTATTAATACTAATTTATTTTTTTTAGGAGCGGAACATTTTCAATCGAATATTTGGTGGTTTTCTTATGAGGAAAGCATATGAACTTGCATGGGCTACTGCTTGTAGCTTTGGGTGAGTTTAACTTAAGTTAACTTCTGAGAAGCAATTTATTTTATTCCACTGAAACGTTTTAAACCACTCTGAACTACACCTTATGATTATACTTTTTATAAGAACTATGAGTGTGCATGCTCACTTTGTATGTGTGTGTGTGTGTGTGTGTGTAAATTTGAGATGACACTGTGACCATATAGGTCCCAAATCACTATTTCTTTTCCCTTTTTTATTGTTGTAATCTTTCAGGAGGTCTTTAATTAATGGGCGAACATTCTAAAAGCAAAGTCATACGTCTCAGACAATGTGTTTTTTTAATGAAAACTTTTATTATATATTCCTAGGTAATGCCATACACGAATACAGTATATTTAGAGCATATCCAGTGCCAGAGCTTTGCTTTAATGAATATCACCGTCATAGTAGATGAATTTTAATTTTCCCTTTCCTTTACATTTCTTTTTTGACCATTGTTATTTTGCATCAGTGAATTAATTGCTAAGAGAAACATTTTAGACTTGAATTTTTCAGTTCACTCCAATTTTGGGCTTTCTCCATTAGTGGATCCCGGCCATTTGTGGTAACAGTAGATGATATCATGTTTCAAAAACCCGTCGAAGTTGGCTCATTGCTTTTTCTTTCTTCACAGGTAGGTGTGTCATGAAAGGTGAAAACTATTTGTTTTTGTCATTTGGGTTTAGAAAAGAAATTTTTACCGTCTGTGTTTATTACTGGCTTCTTTCATCTCTCCCAAAGCAACTGATTAAGTCTTATGTCTATAATCCATTAGGTGTGCTATACTCAGAACAATTACATTCAAGTCAGAGTACATAGTGAAGTGGCCTCTCTTGAGACTAACGAGCATATGACCACCAATGTCTTCCATTTTACATTCATGTCAGAAAGAGAAGTACCCTTGGTGTTCCCCAAAACATACGGAGGTAAGTTGTGATGATTGCTTCTTCCTAATGAAAGAAAGAAATTCTCAAGAAAAATAATTCATTTTTTTTCCATGCCAGGGGATGGAACCCAGGGCTCTTCATATGTTAGGCAGGTACTCTGCCACTGAGCTATATTCCGAGCCCTCATCTTTTAAATTATCCCCAAACCCAGGGATTCACATGAGCTAGACATGTGCTCTACCACTGAATTATATTTCCACCCCTCTTCTTTTGCATTATCCTCAGCAGTGTCTCCAAGCCTGTTAGCCCTGGAACATGTCTTTGGGATATTTGGGTTTTGAAGTTCTGTAGCCCTGAAAGCCAAAGATGCCTTTTGGGCCCCAGGAGTGGCTGTTGCTGATTTGCACAGCTGTTGTGCACGGAGCTGGTGTGAACTGCAGACAGCCACTGATAATGAAAGAGTAGAGCAGCTAATAAAACGGATGTGGTCACAGTCTGTTCTCTCAGGATCATTGTATAGTCCCAGGTCCAAAGTGCATTCCTGTTGCTGGCTTTGCACATGCAGTGCCGTCCTAGTATTCCAAAGTAGGCATTCGTCTGTATGATTGTCCAGGGTGCTGCAAATTTCTCCAGAGGTGTCTTTCTTGTGTTTCAGAGTCCATGTTGTATTTAGATGGACATCGGCATTTCAACTCCATGAGTGCCCCAGTGACCTTGAAAAAGGACTACCCTGTGGAGCCCTAGGAAAATCTCACTTGTTGCAAACCAGTACTCCCTGCATAGAGGCATAGTGCCTAATAAAGTCATGCTGAAAAGTGTTGATGTTCACATTGCTTTTCATCCTCCATAAAGGGGACTGTATTTAGCCTTTAGAATGATCAAAAAAGTAGAATGAGTGGCTGGATGAGGCTTAGGGGTGAAAGAATGATTAAACAATAAATCCCTTTACAATGATGTGAATTGAGAGCCTACCATGTTACTTCTGAGCCCTGTCTGCTAAAAATTACAACTATACAGTTCTTTTAAGTGACAGTTTTTAATCCTGACTAGCTCCAGTATATTGTCTAAATTCCCATCAATTCTATATGATAGTTTATTGTTTTATTTCAGACAGGGTTTCTCTAGCCCTTCCTGTTCTGGAACTCACTCTGTAGACCAGACTAGCCTCAAACTCACAGAGATCCACCTGCCTCTGTTTCCTGAGTGCTGGGATTAAAGTGTGTGCCACCACCGTCTGGCTTCTGTAATTGTTTTATGTTTTCCTCCCCAAGATTTGTATTGCTGATAGAAGGTAGATGGAAAGGAATCCATGAAAGTCTGTGGCATCTGCAAAGATTTATGGAAAGGTTTAAATCAGAAAATATCATAAAGAAGTCTCCAGGGATAAGATACATGAAGAAACTCAGAACCATTTGTTCCTTCTTACATTTAGTAGATATCCCATGCTACAAGCTGGGCAGGGTACATCTAGTTTAAAAATAGTAACTGTTTATGCGTCTGGAGCAACTGAATGCTAGTCAGGCTTATGAGCTGTATGAGATCATATTTCTTTCAAGTGTCGTGGTGAGGCAGAATCTGTAACTCCCCATAGGGTTAGCCACTCAGGAAACTGAAGTACATGCAGGGTAAGTGCCTTGCTCAAGGTCTAGCAGTTCAGAAGTGGCCTGCTGGCAGTTTGAGTGTAGGGTACTCTTGAGATGTAAGCATACATTCAAGGAATATAGCAGGAGGTTTCACACCCACTGGGAACTCAAAGGGAAGCGTTCCATTTTCTTCTTGCCTTCCCTCATTCCCAATTCCTCACCCTTCTCCTCACCTCTTAATTCTTTTCCCTTCACCCATTCTTTTTTTAGTATCATAGATTAAACCCAGGGACTTGCATGTATTCTACTACAGAGATTATTGTCTATCATGCATTAAGCCCTGGATTCATTCCCAGAACCATATAAATTGGGTGTGGCGCTGCATACATGTAATTCCCCCAACCCAGATGTAGTCAGGAGGATAAAGTTTAAAGTCAACCTCAGCATTGTGATGCATGCCTTTAATACCAGCACTCAGGAGGCAGAGGCAGGTGGATCACTGAGTTTGAGGCCAGCCTGGTCTACAAGGTGAGCTGTAGAACAGCTAGAGCTATATAGTCTCAATAATAAAGATGATGAAGATGATGAAGTCATCCTCAACTACATAGTAAGTTGGAGGAAAGTCTGGGATGAAACCCTGTCTCAAAGAAAAAAGATAGATGAGAATAATTTTATTTTTATTAATTTTATTTTTATTCCTTTAATATTCATATTCTTAACATCTGCACAGCTTTAGTATTCACTGAAAAATCAAGCATTTTTACATTCTACCAAAGTGACAAAGTTATCAGTGCATTATAATAATTTACACTGATCTCTTTATTAGCCTAACAAATTCACATATGGTAGAAAGAACAAGACTAATAGAGAAAAATATATCCTAAAATGAACTTCAGTCATGGGGACATCTTCACAGACAAATATATAAATCCTAAATATATCAAAGTAAGCCCTTTAAAAATTTTAGTTATGATCTGGTCTAAGAAGATTTAATTACAGAAGTTTTATTTTGAGGAGCTCCAAAAATGTCTACCCTGAAATACTGCTCTTAGAAACCATACTGACATAATAAGAAGATACTTATTTTTGTTTTAGGCAAATTTTGTTAGCTTCCAATTAATGCTACATTATCATCACAATCATTGCTCAAAGGACACTTTTTTAAATGAGAAAAGACAAATTAAAATTGAAATTGGCACCAAAGGACTGGCAGTATAGTTTAGTGGTGGAGTGCCTGCCCAGTACCTGCAGGGTCCTGGGTATGTTCCCCAGCTGTGCTATATATAATACTGGGTATGTATATTTTACTATATTTACAATTATATATATATATGTGTGTATGTGTGTGTGTATACAACAAAATTGATATAGATAACATTAAGTATAGAAACATTAACAATCTCTTTACAAAATTTGGAGAATGACACATTGACATAAGAACTGACAACTGTAAGGTAGATTGGCCATAGGGCATAAAAGACAAACACTGCATATATGAATTCTAGTTTCTAAGTTTTTTGTATGTGAATTTGGGACAGAGTAGGTGTGTATAGTGTCCTGGAAACTAGAAAGGGGCCCATTAGAGGGAAGGAAATGAAGCTTTTAAGGTGAGGGGGGCACTAGAACACCACCTGATATGAAAGTGGAAGGGGGAATATTGAGGGTGTGTGTGTGTGTGTGTGTGTGTGTGTGTGTGTGTGTGTGTGTGTGTGTGTGGCACGTTTGCGGGGAAAGACTAGGGAGATGAAGGAGAGGAGGGAATGGGGTAGGGGTCAGGGATGTGAGGAGAGAAGAGGGTAAGAGTGGGGTAAACCAAAACTATGAAAATATGAGGAAACCTACAATGTTTGTAAGTTAATTACAATTTATTAAAATGTTATATATCAAAGGAAAAAAGGATAAATGACTCTTAGAAAAGTTAGAACTGTCTGCTAAATGTTCATATTAATTAAACACAACCAGTAGACAGAATGGTGTCCTCTGGAAGCCTCTAGCAGTTCCCATCTGGTGCTGAAGATCTAGATGTTCGCTGGAGAGTTGCTATTGTCAGATTCATGTTGACAGGTGGATGCTGGAATCTAGTGTCTTCTGGCTTCTTCAACTTTTTCCATCTGGGATCCTAGTCCATTTAGTCAGGTCTTTTCCTTCAGTCACTCTCCCACATCCTAATCCTCTCTGGAAACACTTAGAGGTATACTTCACTAGCTCAAAACCAACTACCACATTTATTTTTTCTATGTTTTGGCACTAGGAACCAAACCCAGGGTCTAAATGCTTTATAGTCAAGTGTGCTACTTCTGAACTAAATTCCCAACTCCTAGTTTTTAAAACTTTTTTGAGACAGGGTCTTGCCATAGAGCCCGGATTGGCCTTGACTTGTGAGTCCCTGTCTCAGTCTCCCAGGTACTTAGAGGCATGTGCCACTAAACCCAGCCCCTACGTACCTTACAATTTCTCTCTCTCTCTCTAATATATATATAAATTAGTATCAACAGAAGGAATACTATGTGGAAATAAATGTAACTATTTCAGGTTCCTTACCATAAAGTATTTTGCTATTACTGTCTTGGAGTAAATTCCTATCTTCCTATTCTTTTATTTTTTTCTGTTTCTTTCCAAACCAGTGACTAAACTCAGGGCACTTTCCTACTAACTTATACCTATACTAATTTATATCTCTAGCCCTTCTATCACATTTTAAGTATTTTGTTTTCTTTAGTCTGGTTTGCCTGAGACAAGGTCTCATTATGTAGCTCTCTGGAACTTACTATATAGACCAGGCTTTTCTCAAACTCCAGTGAGTTCTACCTGGCTCTGTATTCCATTCAAAACAAAACAAAACAAAAAACTGTTAACCAGCTTGTTTGAGTAGCAAGCAATTAATGAGTTGGTGTAACAAGACTTCAAGAGTAAACCAAGGCATTTTATATTCCTAAGAACTATCCAACTTAATTATCACCCCTGCTAATAACAGAACAACTATGAAAAACATGACGGCTAGGCACCCTTGCTCATGACTTGAGTTTTACAGAAAAATACTTATCTTCTCTGTAATCATAAGGTCCATTAATGATGAATGCAGGTTGATGTGGTAGTACACATCTTTAAATATAGTGTGCTCAGAAGGCTGGCAGGAAGATCTCAAGAGAACCTGTTCCAAAAAAAAACAGCAAAACAACAAAGATAGTGAGAGTGTGCCCATCAAATGAAAATTTTAAATATTTAATGATACATTTATCTATCATAGGAAAGAACTTCAAAATGCAGTTTTAGGGGTCTAAAACATTCTATCCTGCATTATTTTGTTTACCTCTCAAGACATTTGTAAAACACTCTTCTGCAAATTATTTGGCATTGAAAACTTTGTTTATAATTCTCATTCTCTGTAGCAGTTCGTCATCTTTTCCCCCACTAACATTAGCTAGATGCTTCCACTGCATCTTTTAAAAAGGTGATTAATTTAAATCTTAAATATTTTATATTACTTTACCTTTCATATGGCCTTTTTTTTGGAATTCTCTCCTTTTGCTGAAATGTCTGGATGCTCGGAGGCAGACTTTTCACTCCTCATTGCCCTTCCTTCTTCATCCAACACTCTTTGAAGCTCCAGTGCAAATTGTCTATCTTGTTCTTCTTGTTGATGCTTCTCAAAATACATATTCTCTAAATCTAACAGCCTTTTGGTAATTAAGAGCTGTGTTTCGTCTTCATCTGCAGAAGATTTGGGGGTCATTCCACAAGAAGTGCCAGGGTCATCGGCTGCTTCAGATGAAGATACGTGATTCTTTCTTTTAGAAGTGTGCTTACTGCTGGAAGGGTGATCTTTTGCCTCAGTTGTGCTGTTTCCAGTTTCCTCTGTTACACCTGATACACTGCTTCCAGTCTCTGTTTCAGCAGAACTCTGAGCTATGGCTTCTTCTGGTTTAATGTTCTCCGGTGGGCCGTAAAGGTTGTGACTAGAGCAGCTTGGTTTTGGTGCCTCGTTTTCCAAAGTGCCCACTTTCACATCATACGCATAACATAAATTTGTAGTACCTTGGTTTGGAACCTCAGGACCTCTTGACACAGTAGCTGTACTTTTCTTTTCTTCTCCTGTAGGGCTCTTCCTGTCACTGTCAGTTGTCACAGATGCTTTCTTGCCATCTTTCACAGTGGCATACTGTGATGCTGACTGAAGCCAAGACTGAGGAAGGGAAAACTTTGGGACATTGTCACAATGTTTTTGTTTGCTTTTTTTCTTTCTTGGGGATGTTGCTGGTTCAGCCATGCTGACTTTTTTAGCCTCTTCCTCCTCCCTTAGACTTTGTTCTTCCAGTTTAAGCTTTTCTGCCCACATTTTTTCCTCCTCCATGTCCTGTGCCAATAACTGCCTTATGTATTCCTGAGTAGCTCTGTTTTGTTGTTCCTCAGTGGCCTTGCACTCAGCCTCCAACCTGATCATCTCCTCTTCATATTCTTTCCTCAGTTCCCCGGGATTACTTAGCACTCGAACCGGCATATCATCACCGAAAGCCAATGATGGCAGTTCCTCCCCAGGGCCCCTCTGTTTACATATCTCTGGATACTGAGCTTGAATTGTCTTCCACAGTTCCATATTGATAAGATGGTTTATATGAGAATGACTCCGAGCCCATGAAGAGACCCAGGTGCGGCAGAAGGGGCACGACAATACTGATTTTTGGAGAAGTACTTTAAAGCATGACTTGCACACCGTGTGGGTACAAGGCAGAGTTATAGGCTCAATGAGGAATTCCATACAAAGGAGACACTGGCAGTCTTTTAAAGACAAAGCCTTGGCTTTAGATAAAGCCATGTTAACAGATAAACAAGTCCCAATTTACACCAGTACCTCCGTGGCTTGACAGGACGCTCCCGGCTTCGCGGCAACAGCAATGGCGCTGAGAGAGAGCCCAGCACTTCCGCCGTGTGTTAGTGATATCCGGTTACAGTAGCCGAGAGGCCTCTGTCACCCACCTCCTAGGAATGTTCTAGATCAGCCTTTGTGTCTGTCAGCCTTAAGTGAGAACTTTTGACCAGTCTTCCTACTACCTAACTATTGTAATGCATCCCTCTGAGGGGACTTGGAATTTTTACATATTTATATATAAAATATATATTTTTATATAAAGCGTCTGACTTTGTGGTCCAGACCAGTCTTGAGTTTGTTGTGATTATCGTATCTCCTACATGCTGGGATTAAAGGCATACTGCCACCATTCTGAGCTCTAAATTTTTAGTTTTTCTTTAGGTTTTCCTTCAATATGCAGTCTCTGAGAATGGTGTATTAGTGATTTTTCAAAAGTTCTGGTGTCTTGTGCTAGATGGCAAGGGACTGGATTCATTTTTCATTTCAAGTATATATTCTCTCTCTCCTCTCTCTCCCTCTCTCTCTCTCTCTCTCTCTCTCTGTCTCTCTCTGTCTCTCTCTCTCTCTCTCTCTCTCTCTCTCTCTCTCTCTCTCTCTCTTCCCTCCTTCCCTCCCTTCCTTCCTTCCTTTCATTCGAGAAAGCATTTCTCTGTGTAGCTTTGTAGGCCAGGCTGGCCTCAAATTCACAGAGATCCGCCTGCCTCTGTCTCCTGAGTGAAGAAATTAAAGGCATGCACCATCACTGCCCAGCGCATGTATCTTTTCCCAGAGTGAATTCCTGATAGTGTTATGATGTCGAAAACCAGGAGCTAACACAAAGATATTGCAGAGTAAAAAACTTTCACCGCTGGGACCCTCCTGAGAGCAGGAAAATGTAAGCAGCCGTTAGCCACAGCGGAGATAAACTTACATAGGTCTTTCATGACCTTAGCAAGCAAGCATCTTACACAAAAGCAGAACTTTTTGCTGTTAGCATTTAGCACAAATATATTTTCAGAGTTTTTGAGGACCTTGTGATTGGCCAGTTTTAGAAACCCTCATCAAGTCAACCTGATTTTTCACAAGATCTTTGTGGTCTGTTGGTTTGAAAAAAAAAACCAGCCTACACAATAGGAACATGAATCTTACTACACCTAAGAAATACAAGTAAAACATCAAGATTTTGGAAACAGGTCTAGGAGCTGAATATTAAGAGGAATGGAGGCTCTGTTATTTTTTAGCAGATGAAGTAAATTATTTTAGCATTATTAAAATCAATAGTGAAGGTAGAAATGGGGAAGTCAGCTTCTAACATTAGCAGAGCTTTATTCACAAGTCACATTGAGAAACACTGACAGACCTGACAGCATCTTCCTTGGGTATATTATAATGCATTTTAGCTTACAAAAGATCAAAACTAGCACCTGTGAAACTCTTCTTCACTGTTCTTGAGCTATGGATCAGGGTTTAAGAGCACTGGCAACTCTTTCAGAACACCAGGGTTTGATCCACTGCACCTATGTGGCTGCTCATAACTGCACAACTTCAGTTCCAGGAGATCCAGTGCCCTCTTATGGTCTCCAAGGGCACTGCATGCACATAATGTGCAGACATTTATGCAAAAATATTCACATAAAATAACAAAATGAAATTTAAAAACCCTGCTCCACCTTATGATACCAGCTCTTGTGAATTCTATATGACCACAGACACATTTCTATAAACGTCTGCAAGCACATTAAGCAAACTAGGAATTTCTGTAGTTTTTAGGAAGCATCTGATCATACTCTATTTTGTAGCAAGAAAAACATTATCCAAGAAATAAGTTGGTATCTTCTTTTACTATAAAAATAAATTACTAGTTTGTTTCTTTTTAAATATATTCACTTTTAGTTGTGAAATTATGATACATAATTATGGGAAAAACTTTATATTTCAATACATGTATACAATGTGCACTGATTAAATGAGGACAATTGGCATATAAGCCTCCTCAAAAGGTTATTCTTTCTGTGTTGGAAGCATTCAAAAGCCTACTTTTCTAGTTATTTTGAAATGTGTGTTATTAATAGCTAACCTGTTATGCTGTTGGACATCCGGCTAACCATCTTTCCTGCAAGCTCCTCTTCTTCTTCTTCTTTTTGTTTTTTTTTTTGTTTGTTTGTTTTTGCTTTTCGAGACAGGGTTTCTCTGTATTGTTTTGGAGGCTGTCCTGGAACTTCCTCTGTAGATCAGGCTGGCCTCGAACTCACAGAAATCTGTCTGCCTCTGCCTCCCAAGTGCTGGGATTAAAGGCGTGTGCCACCAACGCCCGGCTGCAAGCTCCTCTTCTAAAGCTCTCATAACCATAAAACATTACATGAATGAGATCACCTTTTTAGCTTTCACATATAAAAGAGAGCACGTGGTATTTGTTTTTCCTGTGCCTGATTGGTTTTATTTAGTATAATGTCCTCTGGTTATATCCATATGCAAAGAATTTAATTTTTTTTACATCCAAATAATATTCCAGTATACATCACATTTTCCTTATCCATTCATATGGCTGTTGTGAATAATTCTGCAATACTCATTCATAAGCAGATGTCTCTTTCAGGTATTGCTTTCATTTCTTTTGGGAAAAAATAGTAGTGGGGTTGCTTGATCCTATATATGGCAAATCTGTTTCTGTGATTTTTGCGAAATGTCAATATTTTCATGAAGGCTGCACTACTCTCTATTCTAGCTAATTTAAAACAAATTTAGAATAACAGTTCAGATACAGCTGACCTTTCCAACTTTTAAAGGCTGTCAGTCTTTAAAAAGCAAAAACCAAAACTTACCAGGAGTATAATTGCTTGCTGTTGCTGCTGATGTTTTATAAAACATTAACTTGTAATAATGTACTTAACTTTACCAAAAAACTGAGTAATAATTTTTAGCACTATGATTCACTCATTCACTCATCTTGTGTATAAGAAGAGAAAGATGCAAAGGACTAGTTCTGGAGGATGATAATGATTAGTTTATAATTCATTCTCTTCCATATTTAGGATACTCTTTTTACATTTTAAATTTAAATTTGTGTGTGTGTGTGTGTGTGTGTGTGTGTGTCCACACACATGTATCCCAGTCTGCATATAGAGAGGACAGACAACTTGTAGGAGTCAGTTCTTAATATTCACCATATGAGTCATTAATTCTGGGGATTAAACTTAAGCCATCAAGTTTGTAGGCACCTGTATCTCCCTTCCCATCTCACTGACCCATTTTTCTCTATTTTGATGAGCATAATTTGTTGCTATTTCTGCTTCAGGACAATAGCTTAATGTTGTTTTTTTTTTGAAACAAGATCTCACTGTGTAGCTCTAGCTGTCCTGAAATTCACTATGAAAACATGGCTGGTCTCAAACTCGCAGAAATTCACCTGTCTTGCCTGCCAAATGCTGGGATTAAAATAGTGCGCCATCACACCCAACTTAAAGCTAATTTTTTAATTAAAAATTTTTGTGGTGACTGTATCATGGCATGTGGTGGAGGGCAAAGGGCATCTTTGTCGATAGAATCAGTTCTCCTTTCATATTTCTGTGAGTTCCAAGGATTGAACTCAGAATGTCTAGCTTGCATTTACAGCCAGCAGGTGCTTTTAATAATGCTTTCCACTTTAACATGAAAACATTTATAAATTGAATTGAAAGCCTCACATTTTGTGTACAGACCCCAACAATAATTTGTATGTTACCAAAATGTGGCACATTTGATTAAAAATCAGTTTATAATAATAGAATAGGAAATTTTATATATGGCTGGTTGACAGATATTTGGTCTTTACAGTCTGTCAATTATTTTGCTAATAACAAAATGTAATTTATCATGGAACTGGAGGGATGGCTCATCCACTAAGATCACTGCCTGCTCTTCCAGAGTACCTGAGTTGATTTCACAACACCCTTGTTGGGTGGCTCACAACCACCTGTGACTCCAACTCAAGGGGGATCTGATAGCTTCTTCTGACTCAGAGGACCCTTGCACACATGTGCTTACATAAACACACATACACAAAAATAGTAAGTCCTTTTAAAAAGTGGGGATTTAGGGGCTGAGGAGATGGTTCAGTTAGTAAGTGCTTCCTTGTAAGAATGAAAACCTGCTTTTGATTCCCAGTACCCTGATTTTTAAAAAGTGCTGAGAGTGGTGACCTTTGTTTATAAGATGCAGAGACAGGCTGATTCCTGAGGCTTGCTGGCTAGCTAGTCTAATCAGTGAGCTCCAGGTTCAATGAAGAGTTTGTCTCAAAAAATAAGGTAAAGTCATGGAAGAAAACACCTACCTGATGTTAATCTCTGTCCTTGTCGAACACACCTTCAACCACAAGCATGTACTGCATATGCGTTCACACTCACACACTAAAATAGGAATTTAAACAGGATGTAGTGGTACACAGCTATAGTCCCAGCACTTGGGAAGCTGAAGCAGGAGGATTTTAAGTTAACAGCCTGCCTGGGCACCATGGGGAGACTGTCTCAAAAGCAAACGATGGAGATTTGGTAAGTTAAAAGGTGGGTATAAACCAGGCAGTGGTGGCTCACGCCTTTAATCCCAGCACTCGGGAGGCAGAGGCAGGCGGATCTCTGAGTTTGAGACTAGCCTGGTCTACAAGAGCTAGTTCCAGGACAGGCTCCAAAACCACAGAGAAACCCTGTTTTGAAAAACCAAAAAAATAAAAAAGGTGGTTTAAGGTTCTTATATTGCATGATCTTCCAAGCAGAGCAACTGACATCATACTACCCATGGTGTCTGCTTGCCAAAGCTCAGTACAGCCAACCTTGCTGACTACTGACATTCACTAACAGAGGGGTGGGGAGGTTATTGGACCCTCACCTGAATATCCAGACACCCCTCTCAGCCAGGTATATATAACTCTGCACTTGACTTCACTTCAAGTGGATTGAGGGTCTGGGTTAGGGGCTATAGTATTTAGACTGCAG